CTCCAGGACCCCCCCAAGCCTCATCCGGAAGCACCGGCGAGTGCCCCCCCCCCCGGGCAGCCATGGCCGCGCTGGTGAGGAGATGGGGGGGGGGAGCCCCGGGGAACCCCAACCCCCCCCCAAACCCACCCAACTAAACCCCCCCCCAAACCCCACCCCCCCATCTCCCTGTCTCCCCACAGGGCAGCAGCAGCCCAATGGTGACCGAGTACGTGGTGCGGGTGCCCAAGTGAGTGCGGGGGGGGCAAGGGGGGGTTTGGGGGGGGTTTGGGGGTGCCAATGCCGGGTTCTGCCCCCCCCCCCCCAGGAACACCCCCAAGAGGTACAACATCATGGCATTCAATGCGGCCGATAGGGTCAACTTCAGCACCTGGCACCAGGTGAGGAGGGGGGGGACAATGGGGGGATACAGGGATGGGGGGCAATGGGATATGGGGGGCATGGACAATGGGGGGGAACAGGGATAGGGGGCAATGGGATAGAGAGATAGGGGATAATGGGATGGGGGGGATATAGACAATGGGATATAGGAATAGGGGGATACAGGAATAGGAGGTACAGGAGTAGGAAGGCATGGATAATGGGGGGATATAGGAATAGGGGACAATGGGATATGGGAATGGGGGGACATGGACAATGGGGGGGTACACAGGGGTTTGGGGATATCGGGATAGAGACAATAGGATACAGGGGTCCGCGGAATATGGGCAATGGAGGGGGTACAGGGATGGGGCAATGGGATGGGGGGGCATGCACAATAGAGGGATACAGGTATGGGGGGACAGGGATGGGGGCACATGGACAATGGGGGGGTACAGCCGTGACGCTGGTGCTGGCGCTGCCCCAGGCGCGCATGGAGCGGGACCTCAGCAACAAGCGCATCTACCAGGAGGAGGAGCTGCCCGAGAGCGGCGCCGGCAGCGAGTTCCACCGGAGGCTGCGGGAGGAGGCGCGGCGCAAGAAATACGGGATCGTCCTGAGGGAGTTCCGGGCCGAGGAGCAGCCCTGGCTGCTGAGGGTCAATGGGAAGGCAGGCAGGAAGTGAGGAGGGACCGGGGGGGGATGGGATGGGGACAGGGTTGGGGATGGGGATGGGGATGGAGATAGGGATGGAGATAGGGATGGGGATGGGGATAGGGATAGGGATGGGGATGGGGATGGGGATAGGGATGGAGATAGGGATAGAGATGGGGATGGGGATGGAGATAGGCATGGGGATGGGGATAGGGATGGAGATAGGGATGGGGATGGGGATGGGGATAGGGATGGGGATGGGGATGGGGATAGGGATGGAGATGGGAAAGGGATGGGGATGGGAAATGGATAGAGATGGGGATGGGAAAAGGATAGGAATGGGGATAGAGAAAGGGACAGGGATGGGATGGGAAAGGGATAGAGACAGGAATGGGGATTGGAAAGGGACAGGGGTGGTGGTGGGGATAAGAAAAGGATAGAGATGGGGATGGGAAAAGGATAGGGACAGGGGTGGGGTGGGATAGGAAATGGACAGGGAGCATGTGGAGACAGGGATGGGGATAGGGACAGAGGTGGAAAAGGGATAGGGAGAAGGATGAGGTGGTGACAGGAATGGGATGGACGTGGGCAGGAGACAGGGAGGGTGATGGGCTGAGAATGGGGATAGGAGGATGGGGATGGACATGGGATGGACAGGGGAAGGACACGGGACGGACATGGGAAGGACATGGGATGGACACGGGTTGTACATGGGATGGACATGGCTGGACCGGCGCTGCCCCCGCAGGTACCGGGGGGTGAGGAAGGGCGGCGTCACCGAGAACGCCTCCTATTACATCTTCACCCAATGCCCCGACGGCGCCTTCGAGGCCTTCCCAGTTCAGCACTGGTTCAACTTCACCCCCCTGGCCAAGCACCGCACCCTCACTGCCGAGGAGGCCGAGGAGGAGTGGGAGAGGTGAGGGGGAACCCCCCATCCCCATCGTGCCCCCCATCCCCATTGTGCCCCCCATCCCATTATACCCCCCCATCCCATTATACCCCCCCATCCCATTATACCCCCCCATCCCCATGCTGTGTCCCCCCCCAGGCGGAACAAGGTCCTGAACCACTTCAGCATCATGCAGCAGCGGCGCCTGCGGGACCAGGACGAGGAGGACGAGGACAAGGAGAAGGCGGCCAAGAAGAAAGGGGGGGAGCTGCGGATCCATGACCTGGAGGAGGACCTGGAGCTGAGCTCTGAGGACAGCGAGGGCAGCGAGGGAGAGGGTGAGAGCTGGGGGGGAATGGGATGGGGATGGGGATGGGATGGGGATGGGGGGGGGATGGGGATGGGGATGGGATGGGGATGGGATGGGGATGGGGATGGGATGGGGATGGGGATGGGGGGGGATGGGGATGGGATGGGATGGAGATGGGGATGGGGATGGGGGATGGGATGGGGATGGGGATGGGATGGGGATGGGGATGGGGATGGGGTGGGGATGGGGGGGGATGGGATGGGGATGGGGATGGGGATGGGATGGGGATGGGGATGGGATGGGGATGGGGATGGGGAAGGGGTGGGGATGGGGGGGGATGGGATGGGGATGGGGATGGGGATGGGGATGGGGATGGGGATGGGGATGGGGATGGGATGGGGATGGGGATGGGGATGGGGATGGGATGGGGATGGGGATGGGGAAGGGGTGGGGATGGGATGGGGATGGGGATGGGGATGGGATGGGGATGGGACCCCTCCAAACTCACCCCTTGCCCAGGGGAGAAGGCGCCGAGGCCCAAGAAGGCGGCGCCGGGGGGGAAGAGGAAGAAGAAGAAGAAGGGCTCCGAGGATGAAGCCTTCGAGGACAGCGACGACGGCGACTTCGAGGGGCAGGAGGTGGATTACATGTCCGATGAGTCCAGGTATGGGGTATGGGTCATGGGGGGGTCCTCAATGAGGGGGGGTCCCCATTGCTGCATCCCCCCCTCACCCTGCCCTGCTCTGCCCCAGCAGCTCCGTGGAGGAGGAGGTGGGGAAGGCGAAGGTGACCAAGGAGGAGGAAGGCCCCAAAGGTGGGGATGGGAATGGGGCACCCCATTACCCTGCGGGGGGGGGGCCTGTCTGTGTGTCCCCATTGACCCCCCCATACAGGCATCGATGAGGCCAGTGAGAGCAGTGAGGACAGCGAGGAGGAGAAGGCACCCGAGGAGAAGGAGGAGGAAGAGGAGGAGAAACCGGCCCCGACGCCACAGGAGAAGAAGAAGAAGAAGGGTGAGGACCCCCCCCCTCACCCCGGACCCCCTTTAGGGGCTGAACCCCCCCAATTCACCCCCCAGCACCGTCCCCCCCCAGACAGCAGCGACGAGTCCCAGACCTCAGAGGAGAGCGACATCGACAGCGAGACCTCATCCGCGCTCTTCATGGCTGTGAGTGGGGCCCCATCCCGGGGGGGTCCCCATGGTTATGGGGGTGCCCTGACCCCCCCTTTCCCCCCCACCCATAGAAGAAGAAGACCCCCCCGAAGCGGGAGCGCCGCGGCTCAGCCACCAGCTCCCATGGGAACAGCCGGCCCGGGACCCCCACCGAGCCCCCCCCCAGCACCGGCAGCACCCTGCGGGCAGCGGCCTCCAGGCTGGAGCAAGGTGGGGGGGGCAGAGGGCCCCATGGGGCTCTATGGGCTGAGGGGAGTTGGGGTCCCCCCATGACCCCCCCTTTGTCCTCATTTCCGCCCCCCAGGGCGCCGCCCCCCCCAGGAGCCGCCGGCTGCCAAGAGGCTGAAGCTGGAGCCGGGGCCGCAGCCGCCATCGGGGAAATCCACCCCCAGCAGCGGGTCAGTAACGGGGGCACCCATTGATACCCCTTTGGTACCCATTGATACCCATTGGTACCCATTGACACCCCATTGATACCCATAGACACACCTGGACACCCCATTGATACCCAGTAACACCCCACTGACACCAAATAACACCCCCGCAGCCAGCAACCAACAGCCAGGGCTGTGTTGGGGTACATTGGGGCTGCATTGGGGTACATTGGGATGCTCTATGCTGGTGTCCCCGTGGCGCAGGGAGGTGCAGCTGACGGAGGAGGCCGTGCTGTGCACTGGGGCTGTGTTGGGTACATTGGGGCTGTATTGGGGTACATTGGAGCTGCATTGGGGTACATTAGGGTACGTTGGAGTACATTGGGGTGCTCCATGTCCGTGTCCCCATGACGCAGGGAGGTGCAGCTGACCGAGGAGGCCGTGCTGTGCACTGGGGCTGTGTTGGGGTACATTGGAGCTGCATTGGGGTACATTGGGGCTGTATTGGGGTGCTCCATGTCCGTGTCCCCATGGCGCAGGGAGGTGCAGCTGACCGAGGAGGCCGTGCGCCGGTACCTGACCCGGAAGCCGATGACCACCAAGGACCTGCTCAAGAAGTTCCAGACCAAGCGCACGGGGCTGAGCAGCGACGCCACCGTCAACGTCCTGGCGCAGATCCTGAAGCGCCTCAACCCCGAGCGCAAGATCATCGGCGACAAGATGCACTTCTCCCTCAAGGAGTAGGGACCCGCGCCCCACAATGGCACCCCTGCGCCCCATAACCAGGGACCCCCGCGCCCCATAACCGGGGACCCCGCGCCCCATAACCGGGACCCTGCGCCCCGTAACGGGGACCCCAATAAACGCTGGGAGGAGCCAGAGCCGTGTCCCGAGGAGGGGGGGATTTGGAGAGGTCCATTGGGATGTTTGGGGGGAGGAGCGACAGCTGGTTGGAACAGCCCTCTTAGCCCCGCCCCCTATCTCCTATTGGATAACGCGGTGACCAATCAGCGCTGAGTGCAGGCTGTGCTGGGAGATGTAGTCCCGACCAAAAGGAGGTATAAACCACACTGTGGGTGTGGTTTATACCCACCCTAACCCAATCCCCATGTGTGACCCCCAAATCGCACACAGACCCCCCCAGCACTCACCGGGCTCCCCAGTCCTTTAATACCTTTAATACAATGGACACCCCAAAACACTTTGGGGTGGGGGGGGGATGGACCCCAATGGGGCTCAGGAGGCTGGGGAGGGGTTGGGGGGTACAGAGGGAGCGGGGGGGGGCTCCTTCTGCACCAACCGGGGCTCGTCCTCGCCGCGGGGGGGGGGATGCACCAGGACCCGGTCCAGGAGCCCGAACTCTTGTGCCTCCACGGGGCTCAGGTACCGGTCCCGCTCCATGGCTGCCTCTGGGGGGGGAACGGGACAGGGGGGGTTAAGGGGGGTATGGGGGGGAACGGGACAAGGGGGGTTAAAGGGGGGGTTAAGGGGGCTATGGGGGGGTCCGGGGGGGCCCTCACCGATGACGCTCAGCGGCTGCCCCGTGTGCTTGGCGTAGATGCCGTTGATCTGGCGCTTGAGCTGCAGGATCTCCTCGGCCTGGATGGCGATGTCGGTGGCCTGGCCCTGGGGGGGCACACACACAACATGGGGGGGGGTCCCCCGTATCTATTACCCCCCTAAACTGGTTCCATCCCCCTGCACCCATTACCCCCCCCCAAAGTGGTTCCATCCCCCCCATACCCATTACCCCCCCCCCCACCAAGGGACAGTTCCAACCCCAATGGGGAGCTCTCACCCATTAACCCCCCCAGGCAGTTCCATTCCCAATGTGGGGGGGGGGGTCCTCCATTCCTATACCTCCAAGCCCATTCCAACCCCCTTGGAGGCTCCCCACACCCATTCCCCCCCCCCCCGAGATGGTTCCATCCGCAATGGGGTCCCCCCATACCCGTTACCCCCCCATATCCATTACCCCCCCACCCGAGATTGTTCCAGCCCCTATAGGAGGATTCCCCATACCCATTCCCCCCACCCCAAAGGAGTTCCATTCCCAGTGTGGGGGGGGGGTCCTTACATTCTTACAGCCCCCAAGCCCCTTCCAACCCCCCTTGGAGGCTCCCCATACCCATTACCCCCCCCAAGATGGTTCCATCTTCAATGGGGGTCGCCTCATACCCATTAGCCCCCATCCAGGACCATTCCATCCCCACTGGGGGGGGTGGTTTCCCCAAACCCATACCCCCCCGTACCCATTCCCACCCCCCTCCAGGACCATTCCATCCCCACTGTAGGGGGTTCCCCATACCCCCCTGTACCCATTCTCCCCCCCCCCCCTCATCCAGGCCCGTTCCATCCCCACTGGGGGGGGGTTTCCCCATACCCCCCTCCAGGACCATTCCATCCCCACTGTAGGGGGTTCCCCATACCCCCCTGTACCCATTCTCCCCCCCCCCCTCATCCAGGCCCGTTCCATCCCCACTGGGGGGGGGTTCCCCATACCCATACCCCCCTGTACCCATTCCCACCCCCCTCCAGGACCATTCCATCCCCACTGGGGGGGGGTTTCCCCATACCCCCCTCCAGGACCATTCCATCCCCACTGCAGGGGGGTTCCCCCGTACCCGTCACCCCCTGGGGGGGTCCCTCCGTACCCGTGCCCCCCCCGAGGGCTGGTGCACCATGATGCGGGCGTTGGGGAGCGCGTGGCGCTGCCCGGGGGCCCCCCCCGCCAGCAGCAGGGAGCCCATGCTGGCCGCCTGCCCCACGCACCACGTGCACACCGGGTTCAGCACGTACTGCATCGTGTCGTAGATGGCCAGCCCCGACGTCACCGCCCCGCCTGGGTGAAGGGGGGGGGCACCCGTTAGAGGGGTCACCCCCCCCCCGGCCCCCCCCCCATTTCAAACCCCCCCCCCCCCCCCCCATAGGGCTCACCGGGGCTGTTGATGTACATGTGGATGGGCTTCGTGTTGCTCTCGGACTGCAGGAACAGGAGCTGGGCAATGACCAGGCTGGCCAGGGAGTCATCGATCTGGGGGGGTCATGGGGGTTATAGAGGGGTATATGGGGGGGTTATAGAGGGGTATATGGGGGGGGTTATAGAGGGGTATATGGGGGGGTTATAGAGGGGTATATGAGGGGGTTATGGAAAGAGGGATGATATGGGGGTTACGGGGAGCGATACTGGGGTGATGAGAGGGATATGGGGGTTGTGACAAGGGGATATGGGGGGTACAGAGGTGATGAAGAAGGGCAATAGAAGAGGATACGGATGTACACGGGGTACAGAAGGGGGTAAGGGGGGGCTACGGAGGGGTAGGGGGGGCACCCCATCGGTGTTAACGGAGCCCCCCCGCTCACCGGGCCCATGACGCAGACGATTCTCTCCCGAAGCAGCCTCGAGTAGATGTCATAGGCGCGCTCCCCGCGGCCCTGGGAGGTCACATGGAGGGGGGGTCACATGGACGGGGGTCACATGGAGGGGGTCACATGGGGGGGGGGGGTCCCGGTACCGGGAGGGGGGGGGGGGGCGGTGCTCACCGTCTGCTCCACCACGATGGGGATCAGGGGGGGGCCGCGCGTCGGCGCTGTCCGGTGCAGGCCGCGGGCGCCCGCCCAGGCCCGGCAGAGGCCGCGCTGCGGGGCAAGAACGGGAGGGGGGGGGGGTGAGGCCGGGGAGGAACCGGAGGCTCCACACCCGAAACCCTCCCCCTCCGGGAGCCCCTCCCCGGTACCAGGACGCCCTCCCCGTTGCCGGTGCCCGCGGCCCCTCACCGCCACCACAGGCCTCATCGTGCCCCGGAAGTGCTTGGAGGACCCCGGAAGTGCCCCCCTACTCCGCGTTATTCACAGCACCCCCGAAACCCCCCGCAGTGAGCCCGGTAACGGCTGCGTGCACCCATGGGACCGGCGGGGGGGGCGGTGGGGAGCGGAGGGGGCGGCCCCGATCCCCCCCGCCATGGGGCTGGGCTCCACATCCCGCCCTACAACGGGCGACGTCCGAGGGCGGACTACATCTCCCAGCAGACCCCGCGGCCGCCGCTAACACTCTGCGCATGCGCCCTCTCCCGCACGAACCCTTTCCGCGGTGATTGACAGCCGCGGGGCCCAATGGGACGCCGCCAGCTCCCCGCGCGGCCCCGCCCTCAGGAAGCGTCGACGGACGCTTTCGGAGACCAATCGGATCGCGCCGGGGCGAGCCTGGCGGGGAGCGACGCTAGCCTCGACCAATCGGCGGGCGTCAGCGGCGAGCGGCAACCAATGGGCGCGCGGGGGCGGGGGGCGTGGCGCGGGAAGCCCCGCCCGCCGCCGAGGCGGGTAGCAACAGTTGCCCCGGTGAGGGAACACGGAGGGCGCCATTGCCGCGGTCGCCGTGGAGACGGAGCCGGCCCCGGGACCAGGCCCCGCGGGACCCCGGTGCGTGCGCGCGGCGCGGGTCAAGATGGCGGCGGCGCGACGGGGGGGGCGGGAAGCGGGACGGGGGCACGGCGGGGGGGCGGGGGGGGGAAAAGAACCGGGACCGGGCCGCGGGGGGCGGGGCCTGCGGCGCGATTGGTGGGCGGACGGACCAATGGGGGGAGGCGGAGCTGGGACGGGGAGGGGGGGATGGGGGAAGGGGGAGGAGCCAATGGCGGAGCGCGGCGGGAGGGACTCGACCCCTTCTGTGCGAGAGCGTGGCTGTGACGTCACGGGGGTGTGTGATGTCACGGGTTGATGTCACCGTGTGACGTCACTGCGGGGGGAGGGGAGGGGGAGCTCGCTGTCGTCACCTGGTAAGAGCCGGTGGAGGGGCAGTCCCATGACGTCGCGCCGTGACGTCACTCGCCGGGGGCGGAGCTTGTGGTGAAGCCCAAGCCTTGTCCCGCCCCCGTGATGGTGATCTGTGATGTCACGATGTGACGTCACAACGCGCTGAGGTCACCGACGGCAGAGGGGCTGGCGTCACCGTGACGTCACAGAGCAGCCTTTCTCTCCCTTTTCCACCTCATTCCCGCTCCAGGCCCCGCCCCCCGTCGCCATGGCAACGCCTGCTTACGTCACCGAGCTGACAGCCGCCACCACGACGACCACGACGCAGCAACCGCCGCAGGCCCCGCCCCCTCCCGGCCCCGCCCCCTTCGGGACGGAGCTCTCGGGAGGCCCCGCCCCCTCCGCGGCCCCGCCCGCCCCCCCACAGCACTTCATCGTTGTCACGGTGTCCGGTGAGACCTGGATGTGGGGTTGGGGGGGGAGGGGGGATGCAATGGGGGCGTTATGGGGGGCGGGTGGGGGGGTTTGGGTCCCTCTGACCCCGATTTTCTCCTTTCTCACCCCAAACCAGAGGCTGCTCTGGAGCCGGTTCCTGAGGGCAGCCCCGCGCCCCCCCCCACCGCCGCCCCCCCCACGGCCGGGCCCACATCTGGGGTGCAGCAGGTGGGGACTCCCCATGGCCTCCCCCAGAACCCAATGGGGGGCAGGGGTTGCAGCCTGCTCCTCCCTGCCCCATTGATCTGCCCCCATCGATACCCCCCTCATTGATCCCCCCATTGATCAGTCCCATTGATACCACCCATTGATACCTCCTCCATTGATCCCCTCCATTGATACCCGCCATTGATCATTCCAATGGATATCCCGCATTGATACCCCCTCATTATACCCCCCTCATTGATCCCCCATTGATACCCCCTCCATTGATCCCCACATTGATACCCCCCTCATTGATCCTCCCATTGGTACCCCCTCATTGATCCCCCACCCACCCATTGATGCCCCCCACTGATCCCCCCCACAACCCCCATTGATACCCCCCCACAAACCCCATTGATCCCACCCATTGATACCCCCGAATTGGTATCCCACCAGTTATACCCCCCCACTGATACTCTCCCATTGATACCCTCACATTGATCCCCCCCCACTGATACCCCCTCATTTATCCCCCCTAATTGTTCAACCCCCATTGATACCCCTCATTGATAACGCCCATTGATTCTGCCCATTGATACCCCCCAATTGGTATCCCACCAATTATACCCCCCCACTGATACTCTCCCATTGATACCCTCACATTGATCCCCCCCATTGATACCCCCTCATTGGTACAACCCTTTCGGCCCCCCCTTTGTGCCCCCCACCCATTGACCCCCTTTTGTGCCCCCCCCAGCGCTCCCCAGCTCCCAGCAGCACCGCGACCCCTAAGCCCGGACCCCTGCCAGGCCCCCAGGAGGTGAGTGCAGGTTGGGGGGGGGCAGGGGTGGGTTTTTGGGGTGCGGGGGGCACCCCCTGACCCCCCCTTTCACCCCCCCCAGGTGGCGGCGCTCCCCCCCGTGCACGTGTACCCCACACCGGTGCCGTACGTGGAGGGCAGCGACGGCTCCTACGCCCCCCCCGGTGCCATGTGAGTGACCCAGACCCCCCCCACCGGGAAAACCATGGGGGGGGGCACCCCCAAAACCTTCCCCCCTCATTGTGGTCCCCCCCCTGCAGCCGCTCCGGTTCCTACCCCTACGCCGAGGCCCCGCTCTATGGGCAGAGCAGCGGCACCGGATACTACGAGAGCCCGGGGGGGGCCCCGGTACAGCCGAGCCCCCCCCCCCCCAGCTCCCAGCAGGGCCCCCCCGCGGCCCCTGCGCCCCCCCCCGCCCCCATCTACGTTTCGGGGGGGCAGATTTTGGGGACCCCCCCCGCGGGCCCCCCCGCGCCCCCCCCCTCCAGCACCGCCCCCCCTGCAGCCACCAGCGGCAGTGGGGGCCCCCCCGGCACCGGCACCGGCACCTTCGTCATCCAGGGGGGGTACGTGCTGGGGGGGGGCGGCCAGGCCTATTCCCACAGCACCCGCGCCTCCCCCGCCACGGTGAGCAGGGAATCTGGGGGGAAATTTGTAATAAATTGGCCATTTGGGAGAGATGGGAAATGTGGCAGGAAAAGGGGAAAATTTGGGAAGGAAATGGGAAATTGGGGGGGGGAATGGAAATTTAGGGGGAATTTGGGGAATTTGGGGGAAAACCCGGGAAATTTGGGCAAAACGGGAGTTTGCATAGAAAATGGGAAAACTTGGGGAGAAAAATGGGAAATTTGAGGGGAAATTTGGGGAAATGGAAAATATGGAGGGAAATTGGGGAATTTGGAGGGAAAAATGGGAAATTTGGGGGGTGTCAGGGGTTATTCAGGGTCATTGCAGAGGTCATTGGAGGGTCATTGGGGACATTCCGGGGTCATTCCGGGGTCATTGGGGTCAATGTGGGGTCATTGCAGGGTCATTGGGGTAACTGTGGGGTCATTGTGGGGTCATTGCAGGGTCATTTTGGGGTCATTAAGGTCACTGCGGGGTCACTATGGGGTCATTGTGGGGTCGCTGTGGGGTCATTATGGGGTCATTGGGGTCACTGTGGGGTCATTGTGGGCTCACTGGGTCACTGTGGGGTCATTGGGTCACTGCGGGGTCACTGCAGGGTCACTGCAGGGTCACTGTGGGGTCATTGCAGGGTCCCTGTGGGGTCATTGGGGTCATTGTGGGGTCATTGCAGGGTCATTGTGGCGTCACTGTGGTGGCATTGTGGGGTCATCGGGGTCACTGTGGGGTCACTGTGGGGTCACTGTGGGGTCACTGCGGGGTCATTGTGGGGTCACTGTGGGGTCATTGTGGGGTCACTGTGGTGTCATTGTGGGGTCGTTGGGGTCACTGCGATGTCATTGGGTGCTCACTGTGGGGTCACTGCGGGGTCACCGTGGGGTCCCTGCAGGTGACCCCTCTGCTCCTCCCCCCCCCAGGTGCAGTGGCTGCTGGAGAACTACGAGGGGGCGGAGGGCGTGAGCCTGCCCCGCAGCGCCCTCTACTGCCACTACCTCCTGCACTGCCAGCACCGGGCGCTGCCGCCCGTCAACGCCGCCTCCTTCGGCAAGCTCATCCGGTCCGTGTTCCCCGGCCTGCGCACGCGCCGCCTCGGCACCAGGTACCCATAGAGACACATAGGGACCCATAGAGACACATAGAGACACATAGAGACACATAGAGACACATAGAGACACATAGAGACACATAGAGACACATAGAGACACATAGAGACACATAGAGACACATAGAGACACATAGAGACCCTATAGAGACCCATAGAGACCCATAGAGACACATAGAGACCCACAGCATCCAACATCCGGTCCGTGTTCCCCGGCCTGCGCACGCGCCGCCTCGGCACCAGGTACCCATAGAGACCCTATAGAGACCCATAGAGATACATAGAGACACATAGAGACACATAGAGACCCATAGAGACCCATAGAGACACATAGAGACCCACAGCATCCAACATCCGGTCCGTGTTCCCCGGCCTGCGCACGCGCCGCCTCGGCACCAGGTACCCATAGAGACACATAGGGACCTATAGGGACACATAGGGACCCCTAGAGACACATAGAGACCCATAGAGACACATAGAGACACATAGAGACACATAGAGACCCATAGCCCCCCACAGTGCCCCATAGCTCCCCACTGCACCCCCCCCACAGCCCAGAGACACCCAACACCCCCCCGGACCCCCAGACCCCCCCAACGCCGTGTGTGCCCCCAGGGGGAACTCCAAGTACCACTATTATGGGCTGCGCATCAAGGCCGGCTCCCCCCTGCTGCGGCTCATGGAGGACCAGCAGCACCTGGCCATGCGGCAGCAGCCCTTCGCCCAGAAGCAGCGGTGAGGGGCTCAGACCCACACCCCCCCCCCCACAACCCCATTCCCTGCCCCACCTCCATCACCGGGACCCACTGATGCCCCCCATAGGCTGAAGCCCATCCAGAAGGTGGAAGGGGTCACCAATGGTGCTACAGTGGCAGCGGCCCCCCCCGGCCTCACCGACATCAGCAGCCAGGTCCAGCAGTACCAGCAGTTCCTGGGTGAGCACAGGGGCCCCGGGCCCCCCCCCATAACCCCCCCTGCACCCCATAAACCCTCCCTGCACCCCATAACACCTCATAACCCTTCCTGTACCCCATAACCCCCCCTGCACCCCATAACCCCCCCTGCACCCCCATAACCCCCCCTGCACCCCATAATCCCCCCCGCACGCCCATAACCCCCCCTGCACCCCATAACCCCCCCCTGCACCCCATAACCCCTCTGTGCACCCCATAACCTCTCCATGCACCCCGTAACCCCCCCTGCACCCCATAACCCCCCCTGCCCCCCCCCAGACGCCTCCCGGGCCCTGGCCGAGTTCCCAGACCTGGACCTCTCGGAGAAGCCGCTTCCGGAGGGCGCCGGCGCCGAGGACCTGAAGGTTTTCCAGCTGCTCTACCGGGAACACTGTGAGGTGGGGGCACCCCAAAGCACCCCAAAACACCCCAAAACACCCCAAAAACACCCCAAAATCACCCCAAAACACCCCAAAATCACCCCAAAACACCCCAAAATCACCCCAAAACACCCAAAATCACCCCAAACACCCCCAAAACACCCCAAAATGACCCAAAACCACCCCAAAACACCCCAAAACACCCCAAAATCACCCCAAAACACCCCCAAATCACCCCCAAAACACCCCCAAACACCCAAAATCACCTCAAAGTCACCCAAAACCACCCCAAAACACCCAGAACACCCCAAAATGACCCAAAACCACTCCAAAACATCCAAAAACACCCAAAACCACCCCAAACCCACACCAAATCAACCCTAAGCCCAGCCCAGAATCATCCAAAAACCACCCGAAAAACACCCAAAACCACCCCAAAACAACCCCAAACCCGCTCCAACCACCCCAAACCCCCCCAAACCCCCCCAAACCCCAAACCCCCTCCAAACCCCCCCAAGCCCCAAACCCCCCCAAACCCACTCCAAACCCCCCAACCCACCCCCAAAAGCCCCCAACCCCCCCCACCACCTCTACACCCCCCAACCCCCCCCCAACCCCCCCTCAACCCCACCCCTGACCCCTGTACCCCATCCCAGGCCATGGTGGACGTCCTCATCAACCTCCAGTTCACGCTGGTCGAGACGCTCTGGAAAACCTTCTGGCGCTGCAGCCTCAGCCCCCCCAGCGAGGGCTCCGCCGGCCCCGTGTGAGTCAGGGGGGCACCCCCAATGAACCCCACATTCACCCCCCATTGACCACCCATTAACCCCCATTGACTTTCCCATTCACCCCCACATTGACCACCCCCATTAACCCCATTGACCCCCATTGACCCCCCATTGACCACCATTGACCCCCCCATTAACCCCCCATTCACCCCCCCATTGACCCCATTGACCCCCCGCATTCACCCCCATTCATCCCCCCATTCACTCCCCCATTGACCCCCCCATTCACTCCCCTTTACGCCCCCATTGGCCCCCCTTTAAGCCCCATTGACCCCCCATTAACCCTGCCATTGACTCCCCATTGACCCCCCATTACACCCCATTAAACCCCCCATTCATCCCCCCATTCACCCCCCATACCAACAGTCCCTTCCCCCCCACTGATCCCCCCATTGACCCCCTGCATTCACCCCCCCCATTAACCCCCCTTTACCTCCCCATTGAGCCCCTATTCACTCCCCCCATTGACCCCCCATTGCCCCCCCGTCGCTGCCCCCAGGCACGAGGAGGCCGAGAAGCGGCTGCCCCAGGCCCGGCTCGTGGCGCTCTGCAAGTGGGAGCCGGCGCTGCGCTGGGTGCGGGACTGCGACCATGCCCTGTACCAGGGGCTGGTGGAGATCCTGATCCCCGACGTGCTGCGGCCCATTCCCAGTGAGTGAGGGCCTCAAACAGACCCAAAACAGGCATAAATCACCCCAAAACAGACCCAAAACAGACCCAAATCACCCCAGATCCTGATCCCCGACGTGCTGCGGCCCATTCCCAGTGAGTGACTGACCCAAACAGACCCAAAACAGGCATAAATCACCCCAAAACAGACCCAAATCACCCCAGATCCTGATCCCGGACGTGCTGCGGCCCATTCCCAGTGAGTGAGGGCCTCAAACAGACCCAAAACTGCCCTAAATCACCCCAAAACAGACCCAAATCACCCCAGATCCTGATCCCGGACGTGCTGCGGCCCATTCCCAGTGAGTGAGGGCCTCAAACAGACCCAAAACTGCCCTAAATCACCCCAAAACAGACCCAGAACAGACCCAAATCACCCCAGATCCTGATCCCCGACGTGCTGCGGCCCATTCCCAGTGAGTGAGGGCCTCAAACAGACCCAAAACTGACCTAAATCACCCCAAAACAGCCCTAAATCACCCCAGATCCTCATCCCGGACGTGCTGCGGCCCATTCCCAGTGAGTGAGGGCCTCAAACAGACCCAAAACTGCCCTAAATCACCCCAAAACAGACCCAAAACAGACCCAAATCACCCCAGATCCTGATCCCCGACGTGCTGCGGCCCATTCCCAGTGAGTGACTGACCCAAACAGACCCAAAACAAGAATAAAATCACCCCAAAACAGACCCAAATCACCCCAGATCCTGATCCCCGACGTGCTGCGGCCCATTCCCAGTGAGTGACTGACCCAAACAGACCCAAAACAGGCATAAATCACCCCAAAACAGACCCAAATCACCCCAGATCCTGATCCCCGACGTGCTGCGGCCCATTCCCAGTGAGTGACTGACCCAAACAGACCCAAAACAGGCATAAATCACCCCAAAACAGACCCAAATCACCCCAGATCCTGATCCCCCTCTGCGGCCCATTCCCAGTGAGTGACTGACCCAAACAGACCCAAAACAGGCATAAATCACCCCAAAACAGACCCAAAACAGACCCAAATCACCCCAGATCGATCCACGTGCTGCGGCCCATTCCCAGTGAGTGAGGGCCCAAACAGACCCAAAACTGCCCTAAATCACCCCAAAACAGACCCAAAACAGACCCAAATCACCCCAGATCCTGATCCCCGACGTGCTGCGGCCCATTCCCAGTGAGTGACTGACCGAAACAGACCCAAAACTGCCCCTAAATCACCCCAAACAGACCCAAAACAGACCCAAATCACCCCAGATCCTGATCCCCGACGTGCTGCGGCCCATTCCCAGTGAGTGACTGACCGAAACAGACCCAAAACTGCCCTAAATCACCCCAAAACAGACCCAAAACAGACCCAAATCACCCAGATCCTGATCCCCGACGTGCTACCCCTGCCATTCCCAGTGAAGTGACACCGAAAAGACCCCAACTGCCCTAAATCACCCCAAAACAGCCCTAAATCACCCCAGATCCTGATCCCGGACGTGCTGCGGCCCATTCCCAGTGAGTGACTGACCGAAACAGACCCAAAACAGGCATAAATCACCCCAAAACAGACCCAAAACAGACCCAAATCACCCCAGATCCTGATCTCGGACGTGCTGCGGCCCATTCCCAGTGAGTGACTGACCGAAACAGACCCAAAACAGGCATAAATCACCCCAAAACAGACCCAAAACAGACCCAAATCACCCCAGATCCTGATCCCGGACGTGCTGCGGCCCATTCCCAGTGAGTGACTGACCCAAACAGACCCAAAACAGGCATAAATCACCCCAAAACAGACCCAAAACAGACCCAAATCACCCCAGATCCTGATCCCCGACGTGCTGCGGCCCATTCCCAGTGAGTGAGGGCCTCAAACAGACCCAAAACAGGCATAAATCACCCCAAAACAGACCCAAAACAGACCCAAATCACCCCAGATCCTGATCCCCGACGTGCTGCGGCCCATTCCCAGTGAGTGAGGGCCTCAAACAGACCCAAAACTGCCCTAAATCACCCCAAAACAGACCCAAAACAGACCCAAATCACCCCAGATCCTGATCCCCGACGTGCTGCAGCCCATTCCCAGTGAGTGACTGACCGAAACAGACCCAAAACTGCCCTAAATCACCCCAAAACAGACCCAAAACAGACCCAAATCACCCCAGATCCTGATCCCCGACGTGCTGCGGCCCATTCCCAGTGAGTGATAGACACAAACAGACCCAAAACAGGCATAAATCACCCCAAAACAGACCCAAAACAGACCCAAATCACCCCAGATCCTGATCCCCGACGTGCTGCGGCCCATTCCCAGTGAGTGACTGACCGAAACAGACCCAAAACTGCCCTAAATCACCCCAAAACAGCCCCAATCCCCCCGAACCCTCCGAACCCCCCCGTTCCCCCCCAGGTGCCTTGACCCAAGCGATCCGGAACTTCGCCAAGAGCCTCGAGTCCTGGCTCACGAGCGCCATGGTGAACATCCCCGAGGAGATGGTGCGCGTCAAGGTACCGCCAAAGGGGAGAGCCGTGGGGCACCCCATTGATCCCCATTGAACCCCATTGATCCCCATTGAACCCCATTGATCCCCATTGCCCTGCCCCATTGATCCCCATTGATCCCCATTTATCCTCATTGCCCTGCCCCATTGATCCCCATTGAACCCCATTGATCCTCATTGCCCTGTCCCAGTGATCCCCATTGAGCCCCATTGATCCTCATTGCCCTGCCCCAGTGATCCCCATTGAACCCCATTGATCCTCATTGCCCTGCCCCAGTGATCCCCATTGATCCCCATTGCCCCCCATTGATCCCCATTGATCCCCATTGCCCCCATTGATCCCCATTGAACCCCATTGCCCTGCCCCATTGCTCCCCATTGCCCTGCCCCATTGCTCCCCATTGCCCTGCCCCATTGATCCCCATTGCTCCCCATTGCTCCCCATTGCCCTGCCCTATTGTTCCCCATTGATCCCCATTGCTCCCCATTGCCCTGCCCCATTGATCCCCATTGCCCTGCCCCATTGTTCCCCATTGCTCCCCATTGCCCTGCCCCATTGCTCCCCATTGCTCCCCTGCCCCATAGGTGGCGGCGGCGAGCGCCTTCGCGCAGACCCTGCGGCGCTACACGTCCCTGAACCACCTGGCGCAGGCGGCGCGCGCGGTGCTGCAGAACACGGCCCAGATCAACCAAATGCTCAGCGACCTCAACCGCGTCGACTTCGCCAACGTCCAGGTACCGGCAGCGCCCCCAGCGCCACCCTGCCGTGGGGCGCCCCAGGGGGAGACCCATACAGAGACCCATACAGAGAGCCATAGGGAGACCCATACAGAGAGCCATAGAGAGCCCCATACAGAGACCCATAGGGAGCCCCACAGGGAGACCCATTGAGATCCCCATACAGAAACCCATAGGGAGACCCACAGAGCACCCCATAGGGAGCCACATAGGGAGACCCATAGAGTGCCTCACAGAGAGCCCCATAGAGCACCCCATAGACCACCCCAGAGTGATGCATAGAGCACCCCATAAAGAGCCCTACAGAGCACTCCTTGAGGTGCCCCATAGAGCACCCAGAGTGATGTAGAGCCACACAGAGCATCCCATAGAGCTCCCCACAGAGCACCCCATAGAGAGCCCCATAGAGCACCCAGAGTGATGTAGAGCCACATAGAGCATCCCATAGAGTGCTATGTACAGTGATGCATAGAGCACCCCACGGAGCACCCCACAGAGCACCCTATGGAGCAGAGGGAGCAGTGCAGGGGGGACCCTGCTGCAGAAGCGCCGGTAGGGAACGGGACGCGAGGGTTCTATAGGGCAGGGACGGGAGCCGCTGTGGGGCTGCCCCATAGGAGCAGGCGTCGTGGGTGTGCCGCTGCGAGGACCGCGTGGTGCAGCGCCTGGAGCAGGACTTCAAGGCCACGCTGCAGCAGCAGAACTCCCTGGAGCAGTGGGCAGCGTGGTTGGACGCGGTTGTGGGGCGCGTCCTCAAGCCCCACGCCGGGACCCCCCAGTTCCCCCGCGCCGCCAAGCTCTTCCTCCTCAAGTGGTCTTTCTATAGGTGGGTGCCCCCCCCATATCCCTGCGCCCCACACATCCCCCCATATCCCTGCACCCCACACAACCCCCCATATCCCTGCACCCCACACAACCCCCCATATCCCTGCACCCCACACATCCCCCCATATCCCTGCACCCCACACATCCCCCTCCCTCCCCACTGTGCCCCACACACATCCCCCCATATCCCTGCACCCCACACAACCCCCCATATCACTGCACCCCACACATCCCCCCATATCCCTGCACCCCACACAACCCCCCATATCCCTGCCACCCCACATATCCTCCTCCCCACTGTGCCCCACACAACCCCCCATATCCCTGCACCCCACACATCCCCCCATATCCCTGCACCCCACACATCCCCTCCTCCCCACTGTGCCCCACACATCCCCCCATATCCCTGCACCCCACACATCCCCCCACATCCCTGCACCCCACACATCCCCCCATATCCCTGCACACCACACATCCCCCCATATCCCTACCCCACACATCCCCCCATATCCCTGCGCCCCACACATCCCCCCACATCCCTGCACCCCACACATCCCCCCACATCCCTGCACCCCACACATCCCCCCATATCCCTGCACCCCACACATCCCCCCCTGCGCCCCACACATCCCCCCATATCCCGCGCCCCACACATCCCCCCCACTGTGCCCCACACATCCCCCCATAACCCCGGGCCTCACACATCCCCCCATATCCCTGTGCCCCACACATGCCCGCCCATATCCCCGCTGTGCCCCACACCCCGCCCCACAGCCGCGCTGTGCCCCACCCCCCGCCCCACGGCCGCGCTGTGCCCCACCCCCCGCCCCACGGCCGTGCTCTGTGCCGCAGCTCCATGGTGATCCGGGACCTGACCCTGCGCAGCGCCGCCAGCTTCGGCTCCTTCCACCTCATCCGCCTGCTCTATGACGAGTACATGTACTACCTGGTGGAGCACCGCGTGGCGCAGGCCCGCGGCCAGAGCCCCATCGCCGTCATGGGCGAGGTGAGGGGGCACGGGGGCAGGGAAAAAGGGGCAGGGGGCAGAGGTCAGAGGTCAGAGGTCTGATGTCCTCACCCCCCCCCTATTGCCCCCCCCCAGTTTGCCAACCTGAGCTCCATCAACTCACTGGACCCAGATAAAGGTGAGTTGGGCCCTACTGATGGGCTCTGTGTTAACCCTGGGGCCTACTGATGGGCTCTGTGTTAACCCTGGCCCTACTGATGGGCTCTGTGTTAACCCTGGCCCTACTGATGGGCTCTGTGTTAACCCTGGCCCTACTGATGGGCTCTGTGTTAACCCTGGCCCTACTGATGGGCTCTGTGTTAACCCTGGCCCTACTGATGGGCTCTGTGTTAACCCTGGCCCTACTGATGGGCTCTGTGTTAACCCTGGCCCTACTGATGGGCTCTGTGTTAACCCTGGCCCTACTGATGGGCTCTGTGTTAACCCTGGGCCTACTGATGGGCTCTGTGTTAACCCTGGCCCTACTGATGGGCTCTGTGTTAACCCTGGCCCTACTGATGGGCTCTGTGTTAACCCTGGCCCTACTGATGGGCTCTGTGTTAACCCTGGCCCTACTGATGGGCTCTGTGTTAACCCTGGCCCTACTGATGGGCTCGGTTAACCCTGGCCCTACTGATGGGCTCTGTGTAACCCTGGCCCCACCCATGGGCTTGTGTTAACCCTGGGCCCTACTGATGGGCTCTGTGTTAACCCTGGCCCTACTGATGGGGCCTGTGTTAACCCTGGCCCTACTGATGGGCTCTGTGTTAACCCTGGCCCTACTGATGGGCTCTGTGTTAACCCTGGCCCTACTGATGGGCTCTGTGTTAACCCTGGCCCTACTGATGGGCTTGTGTTAACCCTGGACCCTACTGATGGCTTGTGTTAACCCTGGCCCTACTGATGGGCTCTGTGTTAACCCTGGGCCCTACTGATGGGGCTCTTGTCTGGCCCTACTGATGGGCTCTGTGTTAACCCTGGCCCTACTGATGGGCTCTGTGTTAACCCTGGCCCTACTGATGGGCTCTGTGTTAACCCTGGGCCCTACTGATGGGCTCTGTGTTAACCCTGGCCCTACTGATGGGCTCTGTGTTAACCCTGGCCCTACTGATGGGCTCTGTGTTAACCCTGGGCCCTACTGATGGGCTCTGTGTTAACCCTGGCCCTACTGATGGGCTCTGTGTTAACCCTGGCCCTACTGATGGGCTCTGTGTTAACCCTGGGCCCTACTGATGGGCTCTGTGTTAACCCTGGCCCTACTGATGGGCTCTGTGTTAACCCTGGCCCTACTGATGGGCTCTGTGTTAACCCTGGGCCCTACTGATGGGCTCTGTGTTAACCCTGGCCCTACTGATGGGGTCTGTGTTAACCCTGGCCCTACTGATGGGCTCTGTGTTAACCCTGGGCCCTACTGATGGGCTCTGTGTTAACCCTGGCCCTACTGATGGGCTCTGTGTTAACCCTGGCCCTACTGATGGGCTCTGTGTTAACCCTGGGCCCTACTGATGGGCTCTGTGTTAACCCTGGCCCTACTGATGGGGTCTGTGTTAACCCTGGCCCTACTGATGGGCTCTGTGTTAACCCTGGGCCTACTGATGGGCTCTGTGTTAACCCTGGCCCTACTGATGGGCTCTGTGTTAACCCTGGGCCTACTGATGGGCTCTGTGTTAACCCTGGCCCTACTGATGGGCTCTGTGTTAACCCTGGCCCTACTGATGGGCTCTGTGTTAACCCTGGCCCTACTGATGGGCTCTGTGTTAACCCTGGCCCTACTGATGGGCTCTGTGTTAACCCTGGCCCACTGGGGCTTGTGTTAACCCTGGCCCTACTGATGGGCTCTGTGTTAACCCTGGCCCTACTGATGGGGTCTGTGTTAACCCTGGCCCTACTGATGGGCTCTGTGTTAACCCTGGGCCTACTGATGGGCTCTGTGTTAACCCTGGCCCTACTGATGGGCTCTGTGTTAACCCTGGCCCTACTGATGGGCTCTGTGTTAACCCTGGGCCCTACTGATGGGGTCTGTGTTAACCCTGGGCCTACTGATGGGCTCTGTGTTAACCCTGGGCCCTACTGATGGGCTCTGTGTTAACCCTGGGCCCTACTGATGGGCTCTGTGTTAACCCTGGCCCTACTGATGGGCTCTGTGTTAACCCTGGGCCTACTGATGGCTCCTAGGGCCTGTGTGACCCTGCCTGGCCAGTGATGGGTTTATGGGGGGGTCTATGGGGGCTATTTTGGGGGGTCATTAGGAGGTGTTGGGGGGGGCTATGGGATGGTTTATGGGGGGTCAATGGGGGGATCATTGGAGGGTTTATTGGGGGTCTATGGGACGGGCAATGAGGGGGGGTTCAGGGGGGGATGGGGGTCCCGGCTGCCCCCCCCCCCCCCAGATGAGGAGGAGGAGGAAGAGGACGAGAGCGAGGAGGAGCCGCAGGAGCTGGGGCTGGGGGAGGGGCCGGCGCTGCCCCCGGACCCCCTGGAGCCCCCCCCCAAGCTCCCCCGCTTTGTGCAGGCGCTGCCCTCGAGCTGAGGGCCCCGCCCCCACCCCCGCGACCCCGCCCCCACCGCTGCCCCTCCCCCCCCCGCACCGCCCCTCCCCCCGCCCTCACCCTAAGGGGGGGAGGGGAGGGGGGATGGGGGCCGTGTCAATGTGCCTTAAGCCGGGATCGTGCCAAAGCCCCCCCCCGGGGGTGGGGGAGGGGCGGGAAGGGACCCGGGGGTTTGGGGATGGCCCCTCCCCCCTCTGGGGTGGGGGCGACGTCGGGACCCTTGGGGGGGAGGGAGATGGGGGGGAGGGGCACAAAAACCCCGGGGTGGGGGGACCCCTCCCAGTGCCAACCCCGCCCCCACATGAGGGCCCCTCCCCCCTCGCCCCCCACCGCGCTTCAGCCCCTCCCCCCCGCATTCGAGCTGCGCTTTTGTACCCCACGCCCCTCCCCCATCCCGCGCGCGGGCCCCCCCCGAGGGGGGTGTGGGGGGAGGGGTCGATGTTTGTGGCCTCTATCGTGACAAAGAGCCTTTGGGTGGGGGGAGGGTGGGAACGCCCCTGTGCCCCTCCCCCCTCCGTGTGTGCCCCGCCCCTCCCCCCATGCTGTTTTCTACCTTTTGTAGTTCTTTCTAAACGGAATAAAACCCACGTGGTCTTTAAGCCCCGCCCCCTCCCTGCACCGCCCCTCCCCGCCCCCAATCAACACCTCCCCCCCCCGCGAACGGGAGAACGGGGGTTTATTGTGGGGTGGGGGGAGGGGCGCCGAGCCCCTCCCCCCCCTTCAACGTGAACGTGAAACAAAAAATAACAACAAATACAAATAAACGCGAGCGGGGGGTGGGGCGAAGGGTGGGGGAGGGGGCAGGACCCCCCTCTCACCCCTCCCCCACCCCTTCTTGGCCCCTTCCCCCCCTCTACAGCACTATCCACGTGTAGCGCTCGTTGTCGGCCAGCACCTTCAGGGAGCAACCTGGGGGGAGGGGGGGGTGTTAAAGGTGGGGGATGGGTTGGGGGGAGGGGGAGGGGTGGGTGCTCGCCCCTCCCCCCGCCCCTCCCCCACCTTTGTGCAGGGCCTCGTTCGTCATCCGGTTCACGTAGCGCGCGCTGCTCTCGGGCACGAGCCAGCGCATGACCGTGTCCACGCAGCCCTTGCGGTACCCGCTCCAGACGCTGCCACTGCGGGGGGGCGGAGCCAACGGGGCGGGGAAAGGGGCGGGGCTTAAAGATCGAACCCCGCCCCCTCCATCGCGGCCGCCCGATGCTCGACGGCGGCCGCAAAGCATCCCCGAATGAAACCAAAATTGCCCCCAATCCACCAAGGTTACCCCCAAATCCACCCAACATCCCAAAACCCTCCCCACTGCCCCCACACCCACCCAAACTGCCCCAAAATTGCCTTAGCATCCCCTAAAATTTTCCCCAATCCCCCGAAATTGCCCCCAAATGCACCCAGTGTCAGAATGGCCCCGAACCCTCCCCAAATTGCCCCCAAACTCATCAAACTGCCCCCAAACCCATCATAGTGCCCCCAAACTGCCCAAAAGCCCTCCAAAGATGCCCCCAAACTGCCCCAAATTGCCCCATAACCACCCTAACCCCCCCAACCCCATCACATTGCCCCCTCACCCCCCCAAACCCCCCCTCACCTCGTCTGCCCTTTGACCTCGGTGAGGTCCCCGACGCCGACAGTGACGAAGGCGCCGGTGTTGAGGTCCCAGGCGACCTTGAGGCTGGTGTGGTAGCTCCTGGGTCTGGGGGGAGGGGCAAAGGGGGGTCAGGGGGAGGTGGGGGGGTTGGGGGTGTCTGGGGCCCCCCCCTCACCTCAGTTGCCCCTCCTCATCCGGGGAGGGGAAAGCCAAGAGCAGGAGCCCGATGTTGATGACGACTTGGTTGGTGTCAGGGCAGACCTGGGGGGAAAGAGCGGTGATGGGGGGGGACAGGGGGGTGATGGGGGGGTGATGGGGGCACGGGGGTGATGGGGGACAGGGGATGATGGGGACAGGGGGGTGATGGGGGGGGAGGGGGGTGATGGGGGGGTGATGGGGGCAGGGGGGTGATGGGGGGGGCAGGGGGGTGATGGGGGACAGGGGAGTAATGGGGGCAGGGGGGGTGATGGGGGGACAGGGAGAGACAGGGGGTGATGGGGGGGTGATGGGGGAGGCAGGGGGGTGATGGGGGGACAGGGGGGTGATGGGGGTGATGGGGGAGCAGGGGATGGATGGGGGGCTGATGGGGACAGGGGGCGTGGGGGCAGGGGGGTGGTGGGGCACAGGGGGGAGATGGGGACAGGGGGTGATGGGGAGAACAGGGTGATGGGTGGACAGGGGGGAGATGGGGGGAGTGATGGGACAGGGAGAACAGGGGGGTGATCGTGGAACCCGGCCTCAGTGATGGGGGGACAGGGGGGTGATGGGGGGTGATGGGGGGGCAGGGGGGGTGATGGGGGGACAGGGGGGTGATGGGGGGACAGGGGGGTGATGGGTGGACGGTGGGTGATGGGGGGACAGGGGATGATGGGGGGCACAGGGGGGTGATGGGGGGTACATAGGGGGGTGATGGGGGGCACAGGGGGGTGATGGGGGGGCACGGGGGGTGATGGGGGCTGGGGGGGTGATGGGGGGCACAGGGGGGGAGATGGGGGGGGCAGGGGTGTGATGGGGGTCAGGGGGTGATGGGGGGCACAGGGGGTCCATGGGGGGTGATGGGGGGACAGGGGATGATGGGGGGCACAGGGGGGGAGATGGGGGGGACAGGGGGGTGATGGGGGGCACAGGGGGGGAGATGGGGGGGACAGGGGGCTGATGGGGGGCAGGGGGGGTGATGGGGGGCACAGGGGGGGAGATGGGGGGGACAGGGGGGTGATGGGGGGCACAGGGGGGGAGATGGGGGGGACAGGGGGGTGATGGGGGGACAGGGGATGATGGGGGGCACAGGGGGTCCATGGGGGGTGAGGGGGGGGTCCATGGGGGACACAGGGGGGGTGTGATGGGGGGGTCCCCACCTCGAGGATGACGATGTCGTAGTCGCTGAAGGAGCAGAACTGCCGGGCCCAGGCAGCGTCCTGGCGAATGACCTCATTGATGACGTACTCGAAGTCCAGGGTGAGCTGCTCCACGGCCAGGAACTGCTCCTGGGAACGGGAATGGGAACAGGGAATGGGAACGGGAATGGGAATAGGGAAATGGATCAGGGAATGGGAACAGGAAATGGGAACGAGAATTGGAAGGGGAATGGGAACAGGAATAGGGAATGGGAACAGGAACAGGAATGGGAACAGGAATAGGGAATGGGAACGGGAATGGGAACAGGAATAGGGAATGGGAACGGGAATGGGAACAGCAATAGGGAATGGGAACAGGAACGGGAATGGGAACGGGAATAGGGAATGGGAACAAGAATTGGAATGGGAACAGGAATAGGGAAGGGGAATGGGAAAAGGAATAGGGAATGGGAATACAGAGTGGCAACAGGAACAGGGAATGGAAACATAACAGGAATAGGGAATGGGAACAGGAATGGAATGGGGTCCTCCAGGCATCCCCCCCCAGGCACCCACCGGTGCCACCGCTCGCTCCTTGAGCGGCTTCAGGCTGCGGCCCCGCAGGTCGGTCACCAGGAAGGGCAGCGAGATCTTGTCATCCTCCAGCTCTGGGGGTACCAGCATCAATGGGGGGACCCCAAGGTCAATGGGGGGGACCCCAGCATCAATGGGGGGGATCCCAACATCAATGGGGAGGACCCCAACATCAACGGGGGGTCTGTGCCTGTGCTCACCCTCCTCAGCTGGGCCGGGCTCCAGCACGTAGCGCAGTTGGGTGTAGTTGATGTACCCGGGCTCGGGGGGCCCAGGGGGGGCCCCAAGGCCCGGGGGGGATGTGGGGTGCGGGGGGCAGCGCCCAGGCTCTGGTGGGGGGGTGGTGGAGGGCGGGGGGGGCCCCTCGGCGGTGCCGCTGGTGCCGTCCTCATCCTCATCCTCGGCCCCCCCCGGGCCTGGCCCCCCCTTGGCGCGGCGGAAGAGATCGGCCACGAACTCCTTTGCTTTGGCCACTGCTGGCGATGGGGAGGGGGCCGGGGCTGGGAGCCCCCCCGCTGGGTCCTGCCCCCCCCCTTCCTCCTCTGGGACCCGGGGGGGGGCCGGTGCTGGGGGGCTCCGGTGCCCGTAGAGGATCTGGTTGGAGCCGGCATCACCTGCAATGGGATGGGGGGGGTGAATGGAAGAGGGGGTGGGTTTGGGGGGGGGGTGGTGTCATTGGGGTGCGGGGGGGTCCCCACCGGCGGCGCGCACGGCCACGGCGCAGGCCACGAGGGAGTAGCTGGTGTTGAGCAGCACAACGTGGTCCCGCTTGAGCTGGAAGGCGGGCTGGAAGGTGGGGAAGGGGTACACGACCTGGTACTTGGTGTGCAGCATGAAGCCGTGGCACAGGCACTGCCGGGGGGTGGTACCTGGGGGGGGGAGAGCCTCAGCACCGGTGCCGGTGCCGTGGGTACCGCGGTGAGGGTCCTGGGGCTCACCGGCACCGGTGCTGTGGGTACCGCAGTGAGGGTCCGGGGGCTCACTGGCACCGGTGCCGTGGGTACCGCAGTGAGGGTCCCGGGGCTCACCGGCACCGGTGCTGTGGGTACCGCAGTGAGGGTCCCGGGGCTCACCGGCACCCGCACCAGTGCCATGGGTACCGCAGTGAGGGTCCCGGGGCTCACTGGCACCGGTGCCGTGGGTACCGCAGTGAGGGTCCCGGGGCTCACCGGCACCGGTGCTGTGGGTACCGCAGTGAGGGTCCCGGGGCTCACCGGCACCCGCACCAGTGCCATGGGTACCGCAGTGAGGGTCCCGGGGCTCACCGGCACCGGTGCCGTGGGTACCGCAGTGAGGGTCCCGGGGCTCACCCACCCGCGTGGGTGCTGAGGGTCCCTGGGGCTCACCGGCACCGGTGCCGGGGGTACCGCAGTGAGGGTCCCGGGGCTCACCGGCACCGGTGCCGTGGGTACCGCGGTGAGGGTCCCGGGGCTCACCGGCACCGGTGCTGTGGGTACCGCAGTGAGGGTCCCGGGGCTCACCGGCACCGGTGCTGTGGGTACCGCAGTGAGGGTCCCGGGGCTCACCGGCACCGGTGCTGTGGGTACCGCGGTGAGGGTCCCGGGGCTCACCGGCACCGGTGCTGTGGGTACCGCGGTGAGGGTCCCGGGGCTCACCGGCACCGGTGCTGTGGGTACCGCACTGAGGGTCCCGGGGCTCACCGGCACCGGTGCCGTGGGTACCGCAGTGAGGGTCCCGGGGCTCACCCGCACCAGTGCCGTGGGTACCGCAGTGAGGGTCCCGGGGCTCACTGGCACTGGTGCCGGGGGTACCGCAGTGAGGGTCCTGGGGCTCACTGGCACCGGTGCTGTGGGTACCGCGGTGAGGGTCCTGGGGCTCACCCGCACCAGTGCTGTGGGTACCGCGGTGAGGGTCCCGGGGCTCACTGGCACTGGTGCCGGGGGTACCGTGGTGAGGGTCCCGGGGCTACCGCACTGAGGGTCCCGGGGCTCACCGGCACTGGTGCCGGGGGTACCGCACTGAGGGTCCTGGGGCTCACCGGCACTGGTGCCGGGGCTACCGCACTGAGGGTCCTGGGGCTCACCGGGTGCCGGTGGCAGCGCTGCGGCCCGGCACAGGGCGCAGTGCAGCGGTGCCGGTGTCGCCACGATGCTGATGTAGATGTCGCGGTGGTTCTCGTCGCTCAGCATCATCATGTTGAGGAGCAGCCCCGTGGCTGAGCGGGTGCTGAGGGGAGGAGAGAGAGGATGAGGATGGCAATGGGGATGGGGATGGGGATGGGGATGAGGATGGGGATGGAGGCAGGGATGCAGACGGATGGGGATGGGGATGGGGATGGGGATGAGGATGGGGATGAAGGCAGGGATGCAGACAGATGGGGATGGGGATGGGGATGAGGATGGGGATGAAGGCAGGGATGCAGACAGATGGGGATGGGGATGGGGATGAGGATGGGGATGGAGGCAGGGATGCAGACGGATGGGGATGGGGATGGGGATGGGGATGAGGATGGGGATGAAGGCAGGGATGCAGACGGATGGGGATGGGGATGGGGATGAGATGGGGAGAAGGCAGGGATGCAGACAGATGGGGATGGGGATGGGGATGAGGATGGGGATGGAGGCAGGGATGCAGACGGATGGGGATGGGGATGGGGATGGGGATGGGATGGGGATGGAGGCAGGGATGCAGACGGATGGGGATGGGGATGGGGATGGGGATGGGGATGAGGATGGGGATGAAGATAGGGATGAAGACAATAGGGATGAGAATGGGGATGAAGGCAGGGATGCAGACAGATGGGGATGTGGATGGGGATGGGGATGAGGATGGGGATGAAGGCAGGGATGCAGACAGATGGGGATGTGGATGGGGATGGGGATGAGGATGGGGATGGAGGCAGGGATGCAGACGGATGGGGATGTGGATGGGGATGGGGATGAGGATGGGGATGGAGGCAGGGATGCAGACGGATGGGGATGGGGATGGGGATGGGGACCCCCGTGCAGGCTCACTTGAAGCCGAACACGATGACCTTGGCGGTGTCGCTCGGCCACTCGCACACGGTCAGGTAGAGATCGCTGTAAATCTCCTCGTCCTGGAAGAGCCGGACCTGACGCACCTGGGGGGAGTGTAGGGGTCAGATGGGGGGTGTGGGGGGGGACACCCCAAAAACCTCATCCGGGGGGGGGCGGTACCAGCTTGAGCTTGCTGTGGACGTTGAACTCCCACCAGTAGAGGTGGTAGATGTAGAAGGAGAGGTCGTCGTCGCTGCTGTTGCTGGTGTAGGAGAGGACGTAGCGGCCGCACTTGGAGAAGCCCAGGAAGATGTGCCTGGAAGAGGGGGGGACATGGAGGGCGATGGGGGGGGGACCGGAACATGGGGGGCGATGGGGATGGACATAGGGGGTGATGGGGGGGGTGGACATGGGGGGCAATGGGGGGGGACCAGAACATGGGGGGCGATGGGGGGGGGATGGAACATGGGGGGCAATGGGGGGGGGGGATGGAACATGGGGGGCAATGGGGATGGACATGGGGGGTGATGGGGGGGGACCGGAACACGGGGGGCAATGGGGATGGACATGGGGGCCCCCCGCGGCCTCACCCCACGCGCAGCAGCTCCTCGTCCACGATGCTCTTGAGGGAGACGCAGACGCGCGGAGGCAGCTTCCGGAAGAGCCGAGGCGAGAGCTGCCCATAGAGCTGGGGGGGGCGGGATGCTGAGCCCCACTGCTGCCCCATAGCGCCCCATTGCTATCCCATAGAACCCCATTGCTATCCCATACAGCCCCATTGCTGCCCCATACCGCCCCATTGCTATCCCATAGAGCCCCGTTGCTATCCCACAGAGCCCCACTGCTACCCCCCTGATGCCCCATAGCTATCCCATAACGTCCCACTGCTGCCCATAGCACTCCATTGCTGCCTACAGCACCCCATTGCTGCCCATAGCACTCCAATGCTATCCCATAGAGCCCCACTGCTGCTCCATAGCATCCCATTGCTGCCCATAGCATTCCACTGCTGCTACATAGTGCCCCACTGCTGCCCATAGCACCCCACTGCTATCCATAGTACCCCATTGCTATCCCATAGAGCCCCATAGCTGCTCCATAGCACCCCATTGCTGCTCCATAGCGCCCCATTGCTATCCTATAGAGCCCCATTGCTGACCATAGCACCCCACTGGTACCCCACAGAATCCAATTACTGACACACAGCACTCCACAGCGCCTCATAGCACCCCATTACTGCCCCATAGCACCCCATAGAACCCCATTACTGCCCCATAGCACCCCGCTCTGCCCCCGCGCTGACCCTGCCGCGCTGCAGCTGCCGCAGGAGGTGCTCCCTGCGCGCTCGGGGCCCACTTCCGGCCGCGGCTCCCCCCGGGCCCCGCTTCCCGCCGCCGCCGCCGCCGCGCTCCGCGTTCGAGCTCGGCGCCATTTTCCCCCGGCCCCCCCTTTCCTCTTCCGGTGCGCGACCCCGCCCCCCCGGCACAGCCCGCCCCCGCCGCTCCCCCATTGGTTGCCACGACACCGCCCGGGCTTCTCATTGGGCAAGCTGGCCCAGCGAGGCTGCCGCCTCCGATCCCGTTGGCCCGGCGCTGCCGTCAATCCCCAAGGCGCGGACCAATGGGGACGCAGGGCCCGCGGCGCGCTCGCAGCGATTGGCTCGGCCTCCCGCCCGTCCGCTCTGGGCGCGGTTGCCATGGAGACGAGGCAGCCGCGGGGTGGAGGAGCCGTTGCCATGGCGACGGGGAGATGCTGCCCAGGCTTGGGGGGGGGTGGATTGACCAAAACCCGCGTTTTTCGCCTTAAAACCTTTATAGAGTCACGTGTGAGGGCGCAGAAGGAGCCCCAGGGCCCCCCCGCGCCCCCCGGGGCAGGCACTTGGAAGGGGGGGGGTCAAGGGGGGGCAAAGTGCTTATGGGGGGGCTGGAGCTGCCCCGGTCCCTGTGATTGTCACCGCAGCGCTGGGGCGGCCTCATCCATGGAGCTTCTGGAGCTGGAAGAGAAAAGAGGGGGGAAAGGGGGGGAAATGGGGGAGGAAATGGGAGGAAATGTGGGAATAATGGGGGGAATGGGAGGAAACATGGGAATAATGGGGGGGAATGGGGGGGAAAATGGGAGGAAATGTGGGAATAATGGGGGGAAATGGGGGGAAAAATGGGGGGAAATGCAGGAATAATGGGGGGAATGGGAGGAAATGTGGGAATAATGGGGGGGAAATGGGAGGAAATGTGGGAACAATGGGGGAAATGTGGGGGAATTGAGGGGGAATGCGGGGACCCCCCAAAGTGCCCCCCCGGGAGCCCCCACCTCGTTCTGCATCAGGTTCCTCTTGCAAAGCAGCTCCTTGGGCGCGTCCTGCGGGAAGGGGGTGTCAAGGGGGGTCCCATGGGTGCTGGGGGGGGGTCTCATCCCTCCAGCCCTCAGTGCCCCCAGCACCAGCACAGGGATGGGGGCGCCGGAGGGGTCAGAGGGGAAGGGACGGGGGTCACAGGGACCGGTCACATCCTGCACTTGCCTGCTCCCGGTGCTGCTCCCGGTGCTGCTCCCGGTGCTGCTCCCGGTGCTGCTCCCGGTGCTGCTCCCGGTGCTGCTCCCGGGGCTGCTCCCGGCCATTCCCGGCGCTTCCCGGTGCTGCTCCCGGTGCTGCTCCCGGGGCTGCTCCCGGTGCTGTTCCCGGTGCTGCTCCCGGTGCTGCTCCCGGTGCTGCTCCCGGTGCTGCTCCCGGGGCTGCTCCCGGCCATTCCCGGCGCTTCCCGGTGCGGGGATCACCAGCCAGGGCTCGGTGCGGGGACGCAGCTCCGGCGCTCCCAGCGGCTCCTGCAGCCGCACCAGCACCTCCAGGGTCCCACCGGTGCGGCGCCGCCCGTCCAGGAGCTGGGAATGGGGGGGGGGGGACACAACATTCCCGGTGGGAAGCAGGAATGGGGCGGGAAGCCCTGGGTGCCCCCCCCCCAGCTCGGATCCCAGCATTCACCTCCAGCACCTCCCGCACCTCGCACGTGGTCTCCAGCGCATCCAAGCGCAGCGAGGCCGAGCCCAAGACGCGGTCAGGCTTGAAGAGGCCCCTGGGATCGGGAATGGGGATCGGGAATGGGGATCGGGAATGGGGATCGGGAATGGGGATCGGGAATGGGGATCGGGAATGGGGATCAAGAATGGGGATTGGGAATGGGGATGGGGAATGGGGATGGGGAATGGGGATGGGGAATGGGGATCGGGAATGGGGATCGGGAATAGGGATTGGGAATAGGGATCGGGAATGGGGATGGGGAATGGGGATCGGGAATGGGGATCAAGAATGGGGATTGAGAATGGGGATCGGGAATGGGGATCGGGAAGAGGCAGGAGGATGTGGGGAGGGGAAATGGGGTCCGGGGGGGGGGTCCCCATCTCTTACCCCTTGTGGGTCACCTCGAACTTGATGCCTTTGGAGCGCAGGACCCGGCGCAGCCCCCGGTGCCCCCGGAGCAGCCGGAGCCGGAACCGCTCCCGGAACTCTGCACCGGCACAGGGGGATGTGGGGCTGGGAATGGGGGGATGTGGGGCTGGGAATGGGGGGATGTGGGGCTGGGAATGGGGGGATGTGGGGCTGGGAATGGGGGGGATGTGGGGCTGGGAATGGGGGGGATGTGGGGCTGGGAATGGGGGGGATGTGGGGCTGGGAATGGGGGGATGTGGGGCTGGGAATGGGGGGGATGTGGGGCTGGGAATGGGGGGGATGTGGGGCTCGATGCGCTATGGGGCGGGGGGGGCCCGGTGCCGGTTACCGGGACAATCGGTGCTCTTCACAGTGGCCGTTTTGTCCCGCTGGGGCTCCTCCTGCAATGGGAGCATCAGAGCTGGACGGTCCCCGGGCTCCGGCTCCGGCTCCGGGACCCCCACTCACCGCGCTGGGATGCGGGAACTCGAACCGCACCGACGTGTCCAGGTCCTTGGGAGCCAAACCTGGGATCATGGAATGGGCTCCTCCAGTTGGGGGGGCAGGGACCCCTTTCCCTTGGGATCACCCCCAATTCATGGGGATTCCCGTTGCCCATCGAGGCTCACCCTGCGGCGCCGGGAGGTTCATCCCCTTCACTATGGCCAGCTCCAGGTCGCTGGGGCTCAGCTCCGGGAAGCTCCTGGGAATGCCGGGATCCCATTGGACGCTGAGCGGTGGCACCGGAGCCGCGGGGGGCACCGGGGCCGCGGTACCTGATGGTGGTGAAGGTTCGCTGCTCCCGGTGGTGCCGCGGCACCGGGCCGCCGGCAGCGTGAGCCCGTTGGAGCAGCTCCAGGCTCCGGCGGCATTCCCGGGCCAGCGCCTCGAACCTGCCGGGACGGCGGCACCAGGTGAGCCCTGGCTCCGGTGCAGCTCCGGTGCGGCTCTGGTGCCGGATCTGGTGCCGGATCCGGTGCGGCTCCAGTGTGGCTCCGGTGCGGCTCCAGTGCCGGTTCCCAATGCACTCACTTGGTCGTCTCGGTGAGGTTTCCCAGCTGAGCGAATTGCTTGGAGTGGCTGAGGCAGATCTGGGGGCAGGAAGGGGGAAATGGGAAAAGGAGGGAAAGGGATGGAATAAAATGGGAAATAAATGGGATGAGAATGGAGGCAGAAGGGGGAGAAGGGAAGCAGGGAGGGAGCCGCTCGTTTCCTTCCTCCTCCTCCTCCTCACCTCGTGCTGGCGCCGCAGCAGCCGCAGCAGCTCCAGGAACTGCGCGGCCGCTTCCGGCGGGATCCTGGCACCGGAGCGCGGCTCCAGCAGGAAAAGCTCCGGGAATCCTGGAGCCTCCGGTACCTGTGGCAGAGGGAGGGGATGGGGTGGGGATGGGGATGGGATGGGGATGGGATGGGGATGGGGATGGGATGGGGATGGGATGGGATGGGGATGGGATGGGGATGGGATGGGGATGGGGATGGGGATGGGGATGGGATGGGATGGGGATGGGGATGGGATGGGGATGGGATGGGGATGGGATGGGATGGGGATGGGATGGGGATGGGATGGGGATGGGGATGGGGATGGGGATGGGATGGGATGGGGATGGGGATGGGGATGGGATGGGATGGGATGGGGATGGGATGGGGATGGGATGGGGATGGGATGGGGATGGGATGGGGATGGGATGGGGATGGGGTGGGGATGGGGATGGGGTGGGGATGGGATGGGGATGGGATGGGGATGGGATGGGGATGGGGATGGGATGGGGATGGGATGGGATGGGGATGGGGGGGATGGGGATGGGATGGGGGGGGATGGGATCTCAAGGGGCTCACTCCCCCCTGACCTTGCTGATGTCCACGGGGAGGCCCCGGCGCGAGGCCTCCAGCGCTGGCTCCAGAGCCTTGGCCCGGCGCAGGAGCAGCTTCGCCCCCTCCAGGTCCCCGCGGCGCTTGGAGCCCAGCGCAGCCTCCAGGAGCTGCTCCCGCCGGGACTGCAGGAACCGAAGCTGCTGCTGGGCTGGGGGGGGAGGAGAGGAGCGCGGTGGGGACCCCCCTTTGCTCCATCCCCAGCCCTGCTCCCCCCGGTGCCGCCCCCGGTACCTCTGCTCCCGGTACCTCTGCCCCCGGTACCTCTGCTCCCGGTACCTCTGCTCCCGGCTTTGGCGCCTGCTCCGGTTGCATCCCCGGCTGCAGGTGCGGTGGGAGCCTGGGGCTGGGAACGGGCGCTGGTGGCACTGGGATGCACTGGGATCTGCACTGGGATCGGCGCCTCCTCGGCTCCATCCTCCCCCTCTGCCTCCTCCTGCCCCACGAGCATCAGCGCCTGCTCCAGCACCGCCGCCAGGCTCCGCTCCCCGCCCGCATCCGTGCCCTGGATGGGCTGGAACCCTGGAAACAGGGGGAACCCCCCGGGAATGGCCCCAATGGATGCAGCTCCTCACTGGGATGCACCCATGGATGGGGGGAAACTGGGAATGGTACCTGGGGGAACGGGAAGCTCCGAGAGATCCACGGCTTTCCCGGCGGTGTGGGCACGGATGGCAGCTTGGTATTGCTGGAGGTTGTCCAGCATGGGATGGGATGGGGATGGGATGGGGATGGGATGGGGATGGGGATGGGGATGGGATGGGGATGGGGATGGGATGGGGATGGGATGGGGATGGGATGGGGATGGGATGGGGATGGCATGGGATGGGGATGGGGATGGGATGGGGATGGGGATGCAGTGGGACGGGATGGGGATGGGATGGGATGGGATGGGGATGCAGGGGGATGGGATGGAAATTAAAATATGAATAATTAAGGTTTAATTCCATTCCAATTAACCCCCATTAACTGCTCATTCACCAAGGGGGAGGCGGGAGCTGAGCAGGCCCCGGTACCTTCACGATGCGCTCGTGCATCCGGGCCTTGCGCGCATCCCCCCGCATCCCGGCCGCCGCCGCCGCTTCCTCATAGCGGCGCATCCGGAGCTGCAGCGCTGGGAGCACGGCCCCGGAGCCTGGGGTGGGGATGGGGATGGGATGGGGTGGGGATGGGGATGGGATGGGGTGGGGATGGGATGGGGATGGGATGGGGATGGGGATGGGATGGGGATGGGGATGGGGATGGGATGGGATGGGGATGGGATGGGGATGGGATGGGGATGGGGATGGGGATGGGATGGGGATGGGGATGGGATGGGGATGGGATGGGATGGGGATGGGATGGGGATGGGATGGGGATGGGATGGGATGGGGATGGGATGGGGATGGGATGGGGATGGGGTGGGGATGGGGATGGGATGGGGATGGGGATGGGATGGGGATGGGATGGGGATGGGGATGGGGATGGGATGGGATGGGATGGGGATGGGATGGGGATGGGATGGGGATGGGATGGGGATGGGATGGGATGGGATGGGGATGGGATGGGGATGGGGTGGGGATGGGGATGGGATGGGGATGGGGATGGGATGGGGATGGGATGGGGATGGGGATGGGGATGGGATGGGATGGGATGGGGATGGGATGGGGATGGGATGGGGATGGGATGGGGATGGGGATGGGATGGGGATGGGATGGGGATGGGATGGGGATGGGGATGGGATGGGGATGGGATGGGATGGGGATGGGGATGGGATGGGATGGGATGGGATGGGGATGGGATGGGGATGGGGATGGGATGGGGATGGGATGGGGATGGGATGGGGATGGGGATGGGATGGGGATGGGATGGAAATAGAGATGGGGGGGAGAGAGGGAGGTTAAAGCTCATGCAGCCCCTATGGGCATTCTGCACCAGAGCAGGGAGCTCCGACACTGCAGGGCTGGAGCATCCCAGCCTGGAGCATCCTAACCCCGGAGCCTTCCCTTCTCCAGGCTGGACATTCCCAGTACTCCCAGTCTGGCTGCAGGGGGGTCCCAGCACCCGCTATGGGGCAGGGGTGTGGGGGCTCTGACCTGCACTGGAAGGAGGAGCTGGTTCAGCCTCTGGCTCCGCAGTGGGTTCCGGCTCCGGCTCCTCGGGGAGCGGATCTGTGGGGATGGGAGGGGTGGATCCAGGCCCAGGAGCACCGGGAATGCCGGCGGGCAGCACCGGGAGCACCGGGATGTACCGGGAGGCAGCGGCACGAGGCTGGGCTCCAGCGGCTGCCCCTTGGCTGCAGCATCCAGGAGAGCATCGAGCCTCTGCCAGAGCAAAGCACAGCGAGGAAACCCCCCCGGCATTCCAATGGGAAGCCCAGTCCATGTGGAATTCCAGCCGCGCCGGTGCCGGTGCCGTACCTTTGCCTCCCGGTAGCACTTGGTGGCCGTGGCCGTGTCCCCACGGCGCTTGGCCTGGAGAGCCAGGACCTTGTACTGGTGCTGGCGGCCCCGCAGCTCCTGGATCCGTTGCGATGCAGCCGCATCCGGCCTGGAAGCCTCCTCGGGGGGGGGACCCGGAGCCTTCCCCAGCGCCACCGGAGGGGGAATCTCCTCCTCCTGGATGGGTTTTCCCTTCCTGACGCATTCCAGCATCGCCTCCAGTGTCTGCAGCGGGCACAGAGGGGCTCGGTCCCATCCTCGCCCCCCAGATCCCATGGGATAACTCATGGGAGGGGGAGGAAAGGGCCAGGAACTGAAGGAGCAATGATCCCAATGGGAATGGGGCCGCTCCAATGGGATCCCTCTGGCTCACCTTGAGGCCCCTCTGGAAGCGCCGCAGGCGGGGCCCGGGCCCGGTGCTGGCAATGGCCTCCCGGTACAGAGCCGCCCGCTCCCGCAGCAGGGCCTCGGTGTTCCCGAGCTCTGGAACTGCCACCGGTGCCTGCGGACCAGGATGGGGACGGATCCATCCGGATGCATTCCAATGGGGAATGAATGGCGCTGGGGGCTGCTTCTGGGCCCTAACCCCAAGCCAGGCTGCTCCACATCCCCCCTTATCCCTCCCCATCCCTCCCTACCTTGGCTGCAGGCCCCGCTGTGTCCCCGCTGCCCAGCACCTCCCGCAGCTCAGCCTGGGGAGCACCAGGAGCCCCTTTAGCGGCTTCCAAGCGGGAAAACCCCTTCCTGGGATGAGGATTCCTCACCATGAGCCCGGCTTCATCCCCCCCCTCCTCCTCCTCCTCCGGGTCCTTCATGCACAGAGCAGCCATGGCCTCGATCGCCTCCATTCCAAAGGAGCTGCTGGAGCAGGGGCAGGGCTGATCCACCTGGATCCCAGTGCCATCCCCATCCTCATCCCATCCTGATCCCATTCCCATCCCCATCCTGATCCCGTTCCCGACCCCATCCTGATCCCATCCTAATCCCATTCCCGGTCCCATCCTGATCCCATCCTAATCCCGTTCCCGGTCCCATCCCCACCCTGATCCCATTCCCAACCCCATCCTGATCCTGTTCCCGATCCCATCCCAATCCCTTCCCGATCCCATCCCCATCCTGATCCCATCCCGATCCCGTTCCCGATCCCATCCTAATCCCGCTCCCGATCCCATCCCGATCTTGGTCCCATCCCCATCCTGATCCCATCCCGATCCCGATCCCATCCCGATCCCATTTCGATCTTGTTCCCGATGCTATTCCAATCCCATCCCGATCCCGATCCCGGTCTTGATCCCGGTCCCATACCAACCCCGGTCCTGATCCCATCCTGATCCCATTCCCGATCCCGGTCCCTATCCCATCCTGTTCCCGATCCCATCCCGATCCCGATCCCGGTCCCGATCCCGTTCCTGATCCCATCCCGATCCCGTCTCGTTCCCGATCCCATCCCGATCCCGTCTCGTTCCTGATCCCATCTCCATCCCGATCCCATTCCCGATCCCGGCTCCGTTCCCGATCCCATCCCGACCCCCGGACCCACGCTCACTTCCTGCTCCAGCCACTGTCAACAACACTCCGCGCTTTACGTGCGCCGCCGTCGCAAAAGCCGCTGTCGTTGGCAGCGCGGCTTCGCTTGACGGCGGCTCCCCCACGGGAGGTGGGGGGGGGAATACTACAACTCCCAGTGTGCCCCGCGCCGCGCACGCGCAGGGGCTCGGGAGTGAAAAGGCGGGAAAGTTTGAGGTGAGGCGGCAAGATGGCGTCTGCCCCGGGGGCAGGAAACGGGAGAAAACCGGTTAAAACGGGTTAAAACCGTTTCAAACGCCTTTGGTTTCGCCTCAGACCCCAGGGCTGTGATGGTCCGGCCGCGGTGGGGCTGAGCGGGGCCCCGGCTCCGGGCTTGGGCGGTGATCTGCCCCGTTAATGGCCCTGTTAATAGCCCCCTTGATGGCCCCATCATGGCCCCGTTAACGGTGCTTATGGCTCGTTGTGTTCTGCCCCCTCAGGCGAGCGGCAGCGATGGGCAAGAGGAAGGAGCCGGCTGCAGGTAACGGGGCCGAGCCGGTGCCTCCCTTCACGGCCCGGTGTCGGTAACCGCTACCCCCCCCCTCCCCCGGCACCGTCCTTCCTGGCCCAATGCCCCCCTTAGGGCCCGAAACCCGGTCCAAGCGTTAGAGCCGGGTCTGGGGGGCACCGAGAGCCCCGGGTCCCGGCGCTGACGGGGCCGGTTCCCCTCCGAGGTGCAGCCGGTGAGCGCCGCGGCCCCAGAGCCAAGCAGAGGCCTCCGGAGGCGGTGGGAGAGGAGGCTCCGGTCCCGGTCCCGGCTGCTGGGAGTCCCCCGGGGCTGAACCGCGGCGCGGAGCCGGGGCCACCTCCCTCAGGATCCGGTGCCGGTGCTGGGCCCCGGGAGGAAGCGCTGGAGGAGGACCGGGAAGAGGCTCGGGATGAACATCGGGATGAGCTGCAGGAGCCTCGGGAAGAGGCTCGGGATGAGCGCCGGGATGAACAACGGGAGGAGCTGCAGGAAGAGGCTCGGGATGAGCGCCGGGATGAACAACGGGAGGAGCTGCAGGAAGAGGCTCGGGATGGACATCGGGATGAGCTGCAGGAGCCTCGGGATGAGCGCCGGGATGAGCAACGGGAGGAGCTGCAGGAATTGCATCGGGAGGAGCTGCAGGAGGAGCCCCAGGAATTGCATCGGGAGGAGCTGCAGGAGCCCCGGGATGAGCCTCGGGAAAGGGCTTGGGATGAGCATCGGGATGAGCTGCAGGAGCCTCGGGATGAGCATCAGGATGTGCAGCAGGAGGCCCGGGATGAGCCTCGGGATGAGCATCAGGATGAGCTGCGGGAGGAGGCTCGGGATGAGGCTCGGGATGAGCATCAGGATGAGCTGCGGGAGGAGGCTCGGTATGAGCCCCGGCAGGAGGAGCCCCAGGAGGAGCATCGGGAGGAGCTGCAGGAACCGGGGGATGAACCCCGGGATGAGCTGCAGGAGGAGCCCCAGGAATGGCATCGGGAGGAGCTGCAGGAACCGGGGGATGAACCCCGGGATGAGCTGCAGGGAGAGCCCCAGGAATGGCATCGGGAGGAGCTGCGGGATGAGGATCAGGATAAGCCCCGGGATGAGCCGCAGTTGGAGCCCCGGGAAGGGCCCAGCCAGGAGCTGCTGCCGCAGCCCAAGGTAACGCCATGGCAGGGGCAAAGCGGGAATCCCGCGGCTTTGTGCTGGGAGCAGGGGGGATCCAGGCTCGTGTGCCCCATCCCTGGCAGTGCCCAGGGGCGGGCTGGACACGGGGGCTTGGAGCTCCCTCCAACGCAGCCCCGTTCCCTGTCACCCCACAGGAGCTCGTGGACGCCCTGCACCGCCTCGAAGAGGCCCCGAGGTGGGTGCCCCAGGGGCTGCTCCGTGCTCCCGGTGCCGGGAAGAGTGGGAATGCCGACACCCCCCCCCCATCGTTCCCCGTTTGCCCCATAGGGACGACGCGACCGACATCGTCTGCGGCCTCATCCAGGAGCTCTCGGCCCTCAAGTAAGGCTTTTCCCAAGGGATTCGGGGCGGGATTCGGGCCCGGGGCGGGGGCTGACGCGGCGCCCACCCCGCAGCCGCTTGGCCATGGGCGCCCACCGGGGCCTGGAGGCGCTGAGGAGGCAGAAACCGCGGCGGAGCCGGCGCCCGGTGCCGCTGAACCCCGGGAGGAGGCGGATGGAGACGTAGGAGCGGGGTCAGCCCCCAGGGGAGCCCCTTTATTACCAACGGGGGCTCGAACAGAGAATAAACCGTGTGCCAAAACGCGTCCAAATCCCAACAAAACAACCCAAAACACAACTGAAACCAACTGGGGGGCCGGTATCACCCCCCCGGGGGCCGGTATCACCCTCCGGGAGCCGGTGCCAGCCCCCCGGGGGCCGGTGCAACCCCTCCGGGAGCCGGTGCAACCCCTCCGGGAGCCGGTGCAACCCCTCCGGGGTCCGGTGCCACCCCCCCGGGGGCCGGTATCATCCCCTCGGGAGCCGGTGCCACCCCTCCGGGGGCCGGTATCACCCTCCGGGAGCCGGTGCCACCCCCCCGGGGGCCGGTGCAACCCCTCCGGGAGCCGGTGCAACTCCCCCGGGGGCCGGTACAACCCCGGGTCCTGCTTCCCGTCAGCGTCCAGCGCCGTCCCGGGCTCCCGCAGTCAGGAATGGGGCAGGGGTGTGGGTGGGAAGCGCCATCCCGATGCCTCTCCCTGCAAGAGAGCAGCGGGGTGCGAGGCTCATCCATGCAGTGGGAATAACAAACCAGCAGCATCATCATCATCCCCCCCCGTCCCCTCCCGTCCGGTCACCGCCGTTACCTGCGCCCCGGTGCCGCCCGTCAGCGCTCGCTGCTCCCGGTGCCGCGGCTGGACCGGCTGTAGACGGAGGTGTAGCCGTGGCGGGTGAGCGGGCAGAAGCGCCGCGTGTGCGCCCGGTCCTCGGTGGCTCCGCACTGCGGGCACACGTAGCTCCGCAGCACCGGGCACAGCACCCGGCCCGCCGCGTCCCGCAGCCGGTGCCCGTTGTAAACCTGCTTCGCTTCCCCGTTTTGCCTGCAGAAGGTGCAGCCTCCACCGCCACCACCGGCACCGGTACCGCCGCCGTTCTGGCCCCCCGGTGCCGCCGCCTCCCCCTCCGTGCGCCGCAGCGCGGCCACCACGGCCGCCAGCCCCAGGTAATCGCGCCACAGCTCGAAGCCCGGCTCCATCCCGCACCGGCACCAGCGCTGCCCTCGCCGGAGCCACCGGCAGCGGCCGAGCCCAGCGCCCGCCCGCCCCGGAGCCGCTCTGTCTGCCCCGCAGGGACTGGGGGCCCCTTTCCCCACCGCCGGGTCCCACCCTTTGGCCCCAGACGGGACCTTCCCCCCGCCCGCCCCGGCGGCGCCGGACGCCGTTGTTATGGACAAAACGCGTTGGAACGGGAAAAACCGCGTTTGAACGGGATAAAGCCACGTTTTCACACGTCCTGGAGCACGGCGGGATGCGCGAACCCGGTGTCTACCGGTGCCTTCGGGGTAAAACCGGCCGGGATTGGGTGAAGCGGCGGGGAGGAGGGGGGGGGGGGAAGGACGTGGGGGACAAGTGTGGTTTTGGGTGGAAAACGGGGGATTTTGGCGTCGAACGGTCCCGGTAAAGCCGTTCCCGGCGGGGGGAAAGGGGGGGAATAACGGCCGCGGGTCAACTCAGGGCAGCGGCTCCGCCCATTGGCCCCAAGCACCGCCCCTCCGGCTCTGGCTGCCTGCAGAGTTGGGCACGCCCCCTCATTGGTCACCGCCCCGCCGGCTCTCATTGGCTGTCTGCCAGGCTGGACACGCCCCCTCATTGGTCACCACCCCGCCTGCTCTCATTGGCTGTCTGCAGCGCTGGACACGCCCTCTCATTGGTCACCACCCCGCCTGCTCTCATTGGCCAGCGTGTGGGCTGGCGGTTAACCCGTGCGGTGCCGAGGGGAAACGTGAGGAACACGTGCGGCGTGACGTCACGGGGGGCGTGACGTCACAGAGCACGGCATGACATGGGGCCACATGGCTTAACACGGCTCGACACGCCATCACAACTGTGAACAGGGTGACAAAGGCAGCGGTCAGGTGGTGCCATGGCGTGTCCTGCCGTGTCACGCTATGTCATGCTGTGTCATACTACGTCATGCTATGTCACACTAGTCATGCCATGTCATACTACGTCATGCCACATCACGCTACATCATGGGCGATGGCGGTGCCGGTGTCTGGCGCCGCCCCGCAGTGACTCATGGGCACGAGGCTGCTGGGGGGGAGGGGCTGTGGCTCCCCCCCCCCCCCAGGGGCACCCCTCCCCCCCTCGGGATACCCCCCCGGGGACACCCAGCCCGAGGGGGGGGAGGGGCCCACCCGGTGCTGCCGGTGACTCACGGCCTGAGTCAGCCCCACACAAACACGGGGTTACCCGGCAACGGCCCCGCCGCGACCCACGGCCGGGCACAGCGGGACCCATAGAGACCCATAGAGACACCCTGAGACCCACAGCGGGACCCACAGCGACCCATAGAGAGCCACAGAGCCAACCTGAGACCCACAGTGACCCATAGACACCCATAGAGACACTGAGACACAGTGAGATCCATAGGGACACCCTGAGCCCCACAGCCTTGACCCACCGCTCATCCTCATCCCTGTTCGCAGCTGGGTCATGCTCTGTCATGCCATGTCATGCCTCACCATGCAGTTACATGCGTGTCCATGCAGTGCCACACGTGTCCATGCAGTGCCATGCGTATCCATGCAGTTACACGCGTGTCCGTGCGGTCCCATGCGTGCCCATGCGGTCCCATGCATTCCCATGCGGTGCCACGCGTGTCCATGTGGTGCCACGCGTGTCCATGCGGTGCCACGCGTGTCCATGCGGTGCCACGTGTGTCCATGCGGTGCCACGTGTGTCCATGCGGTGCCATGTGTGTCCATGCGGTGCCACGCGTGCCCATGCGGACCCACGTGTGTCCATGTGGTGCCACGTGTATCCATGCGGTGCCACACATGTCCATGCGGTGCCACACATGTCCATGCGGTGCCACGCGTGTCCATGTGCCCCCGCAGTGGACTCACACGTGTGGAATGCAGCATCCAGCTCCACTGCCTAGAAAGGACACGGCTGTGCATGGAGCCCTCACATGGATGTGCACGCGTGTTCCGTGTCCATGTGTGCACACATGGATGTGCAAGCGTGTTCCGTGCGCAGGTGTGCACACATGGATGTGCAAGCGTGTTCAGTGTCCATGTGTGCACACATGGATGTGCAAGCGTGTTCCATACCCATGTGTGCACACATGGATGTGCAAGCGTGTTCCATACCCATGTGTGCACACATGGATGTGCAAGCGTGTTCCATACCCATGTGTGCACACATGGATGTGCAAGCGTGTTCCATACCCATGTGTGCACACATGGATGTGCGTGTTCCGTGTGCAGGTGTGCACACATGGATGTGCAAGCGTGTTCCATACCCGTGTGTGCACACATGGATGTGCAAGCGTGTTCCATACCCGTGTGTGCACACATGGATGTGCAAGCGTGTTCCGTGCCCATGTGTGGGGCTGGGGTGTGCTATGGGCTGTGCTATAGGGCTGTGATGTGCTATGGGGCAGGGCTGTGTTATGGGGCAGGGCTGTGCTATGGGGCTGTGTTATGGGGCAGGACTGTTCTATGGGCTGTGCTATGGGGCTGTGCTATGGGGCAGGACTGTTCTATGGGCTGTGCTATAGGGCTGTGCTGTGCTATGGGGCAGGGCTGTGCTATGGGACAGGCCTGTGCTATGGAGCTGTGCTATGGGGCTGTGCTATGGGGCAGGGCTGTGCTATGGGGCTGGGCTGTGCTATGGGGCAGGGCTGTGCTATGGGCAGGGCTGTGCTACGAGGCAGGGCTGTGCTATGTGGCAGGGCTGTGCTATGGGGCTGTGATGTGCTATGGGGCAGGGCTGTGCTATGGGGCTGTGCTATGGGGCAGGGCTGTGCTATGGGGCAGGGCTGTGCTATGGGGCTGTGCTATGGGGCAGGGCTGTGCTATGGGGCTGTGCTATGGGGCTGGGCTGTGCTATGGGGCAGAGGCTGCGCTATGGGGCAGTGGCTGTGCTATGGGGCAGGGGCTGTGCTATGGGGCAGCGGCTGTGCTATGGGGCAGGAGCTGTGCTATGGGGCAGGAGCTGTGCTATGGGGCAGTAGTTGTGCTATGGGGCAGGGCTGTGCTATGGGGCTGTGATGTGCTATGGGGCAGGGCTGTGCTATGGGGCTGTGATGTGCTATGGGGCAGGGCTGTGCTATGGGGCTGTGCTATGGGGCAAGGCGGGATGTGTGGGGCCGGGGCCGGCCCTGGCCCTGGCCCTGGCCCGGCGGCAGCGCCCGCGGTGACGCGCTGCGGTTTCCCCCACTTCCGATGCGATCCCGTGTTTAATGTGTGTGTGCGGCATCGCCATGGAGACGGACAGGGGAAACTGAGGCGCGGGCTGCGCTATGGGGCACGGGGCTGCGCTATGGGGCACGGGGCTGTGCTATGGGGCACGGGGCTGTGCTATGGGGCTGCGCTATGGGGCACGGGGCTGTGCTATGGGGCACGGGGGTGTGCTATGGGGCACGGGGGTGTGCTATGGGGCACACAGTGCTCTCAGTATGGGGCATATAGTGCCCTCACTATGGGGTACATAGTGCCCTTGCCATGGTGTACATAGTGCCCTCGCTATGGGGTACATAGTGCTCTCAGTATGGGGCACATAGTGCCCTTGCTATGGGGCACACGGTGCTCTCAGTATGGGGCATATAGTGCCCTCACTATGGGGTACATAGTGCTCTTGCCATGGTGTACATAGTTCCCTCGCTATGGGGTACATAGTGCTCTCAGTATGGGGCACATAGTGCCCTTGCTATGGGGCACAGAGTGCGCTCAGTATGGGGCACATAGTGCCCTTGCTATGGGGCACACAGTGCTCTCAGTATGGGGTACATAGAGCCCTTGCTATGGGGCACATAGTGCGCTCAGTATGGGGCACATAGTGCCCTCACTATGGAGCACACACTGCCCTTGCTATGGGGTACATAGTGCCCTCACTATGGGGCACATAGTGCTTTCAGTATGGGGTACATAGTACCCTTGCTATGGGGTACATAACGCCATCACTATGGGGTACACATTGCCCTCCATATGGGGCACAAAGTGCCCTTTCTATGGGGCATATAATGCACTCACTCTATGTACCTAGTGCCCTCTCTATGGAATACACATTGCCCTCACTATGGGGCACACAGGCTGCTCGCTATGGGGCACATAGTGGCATCACTATGGGGTACATAGTGCCCTCAATATGGGGCACACATTGCTCTCCATATGGGGCACACAGTGCCCTCGCTATGGGGCATATAATGCACTCACTATATGGGTACCTAGTGCCCTCTCTATGGAGCACACATTGCCCTCGCTGTGGGGTACACACTGCCCTCACTATGGGGCACACAGGCTGCTCCCTATGGGGCACATAGTGGCATCAATATGGGGAAAACAGTGCCCCCTCGCTATGGGGCACACAATGTCCTCGCTATGGGGTACACATTGCCCTCACTATGGGGCACACAGTGGCATCACTATGGGGTACATAATGCCCTCAATATGGGGAAAACAGTGCCCTCTCTATTAGGCACATAATGCCCTCGCTATGGAGCACACATTGCACTTCCTATGGGGCACACAGTGGCATCACTATGGGACACATAGTGGCATCACTATGGGGCACACAGTGCACTTGCTATGGGGCACACAGGCTGCTCTCTATGGGGCACACAATGCCCTCGCTATGGGGCACACAGTGGCATCACTATGGGGTACATAGTGCCCTCAATATGGGGAAAAGAGTGCCCTCTCTATGGGACACACAATGCCCTCGCTATGGGGCACACATTGCACTTGCTATGGGGCACACAGGCTGCTCGCTATGGGGCACACAGTGGCATCACTATGGGGTACACAGTGCCCTCCACATGGGGCACACATTGCACTTGCTATGGGCCACACAGGCTGCTTGCTATGGGGCACACAGTGGTATCACTATGGGGTACACAGTGCCATCACTATGGGGCACGCAGTGGCATCACTATGGGGTACATAGTGCCTCGCTATGGGGCACACAGGCTGCTCGCTATGGGGCACACAGTGGCATCACTATGGGGCACACAGTGGCATCACTATGGGGTACACATTGTACTTGCTATGGGGCACACAGCGCCCTCGCTGTGGGGCAGCCCCGAAAGGGTGCGGAGCGGCGGCGGCGGGCGCAGGCCCCACCCCTCCCGGCCGCGGCCTCCGGGGCGGAGCGAAGCGTTTAAAAGGGATCCCCCTGCGTGGAGGGAAAGTCGGAGCCTGCGAGCGCGGCGGAGCCCCGGTGAGTACGGGCCGGGCCGGGGCGAGGGTCGGGGCTTGGCCGGGCCGAACCGAGCGGCTCCGAACACCTCCGAGCGGTGCCGAACAGCTCCGAACGATGCCGAGGGGTTCCGAATGGTGCCGAACGGTTCCGAACCGCCCTGACGGGTGCCGAACCGCTCCGAGCGGTACCGAGCGCTCTGAACGCTGCCGAACCGCCCTGACGGGTGCCGAACGGGGCCGAACCACCCTAACGGGTGCCGAACTGCTCCGAGGGGCTCCGAACGGGGCCGAACTACTCTAACGGGTGCCGAACCGCTCCGAGGGGCTCCGAACGGTGCCGAACCACCCTAACGGGTGCCGAACGGTGCCGGACCGCTCCGAGGGGCTCCGGAAGCTGCCGAACGGTACCGAGGGCCCCGAACGGCTCCGAAGCCGTCTGAGGCTCGCGTCCGGTGCGTCCCGAAGCGCCGTTTCGGCCGGTTCCGGAGGGGTTTCGGGTGCCGTCCCCCCCCCCGTCCCGGCCGGGGCGTTGGTGCCGCCGCGGTGATTCATCCTTTCCCCCCGGCGCTGCGTGTGCCGACGGGCGCGGACGGGGCGGCCCCTCCCGGCCCCCGCCTCCGCCTTGGCACCGGCCCCGCCGGCGCCTCGTGTCCCCCCGCGCTGCCCCACACACGGAGCGGGGGGGGCAGCCCCACGGCGGCGCCTCCGCCCCATAGGAGCCGGTTGGTGCGGCCCAACCGGCAACGCCCCGGCCCCGACGGCGGCTCCCGCTTGGGCCCAGGCCAAAGGGGGCGCCGGGGACCCCGTCCTGCCCCGCTCGGCCGCGTTCGGCTCCTCTCGGCTGTGTTCGGCTCCGTTCGGCCCCGCTCGGCGCCGCCGCCCCGTTGGCAGCGCCGCTGTGTTGATGCCGCCGCCGCCGCTGTTGATCCAGATTTTCTTGGTCCTTTTCCACCCGAATCCCTTTGAAGTTGCCCCGTTGCCGTGGTTACGGTGATGTCACGGCCGGGGCGGGGCCTCGGCGGCTCCCACATGGCGCCCGACGGCCCCGGCCCCATTACACGCTGCTTCCAGGAGCTCGCCCACCGACGGCGGCGGCGATGGCTGCCCCGCGATGCCCCATGGCACCCTATGGCTGCCGCATGGTACCCATTGTACCCTGTGGGTGCCCCATGGTGCTCCACTGTACCCTATGGGTGCCCTATGGCAGCCCCACAGCCGCATCTATAGGGACACAGGGAGGACACCAGCAGAGCCTCGACACCCACATCCCTTGCCTGGCTGGGGGTACCCAACCCCATGGTGCCCTATGGCCACATCCATGGGGACACGGGGGTCCTGGCACCAGCATCTCCAGAGCCTTGACGCCACAGCCCCTCTCTGCCCGGGCACACCAGTGTCTGCCCCATGGCTGCCCCACGGCTGCCCCATGGCTGCCCCACAGCCACACGCACTGGGGGGTCCTGACGCCACGGCTCAGCCCTCCCAGCCGTGCCCGGGCTCGTCCCGGCTCTCACGTGGCGGCGCCGATGGCACCGGCCGGTGCTGGCACGTGCCCGTGCCATGACTCAGCCTCGCGCGCCCGCACCGGGGCGGTGCCCATGGCTGTGGCCGTGTGTGTCCATGTCCATGTGTGTCCATGTCCATACGTGTCCATGTGGATCCACATTCATATGTGTCCATGTGTGTCCATGTCCATACGTGTCCATGTGTGTCCGTGTCTGTCCCTGTGTGTCCACCCCTGCACCCGCAGCCCCTGTGCCCATGGACCTGCCCCATCGCTGACACTGGAGGGGGGGGTCCCAGTATCCCCCCATGACGCCCCCCCCCCCCCAGCTGCCGCTCACCGGGGTTCCTGGCGATGCGATTTTTTACCGTTTCTGCCCAAAATCACATTGCCAGGGATTTCCAACGGGCGCCAGCACCGCCGCCGCGATACACCGGGAACGCCGGGATGCACACGGGCAACAGGCGCCGTGGGGTAGGGCTTAGCCCACATGTGAACAGCGTTGGCATCGGGTCGTGTTCACAGTGGCTAAGTTCCGCTCCCCGGCACTCACCGGACACCGGGATCTGCTCCAGGACACCGGGATCCCCTCCCCGGGCGCTGCCTCCTGTGCCTACTGAGCTGATTTGCAGTTGCTTTGGTTAAACTGGCTCAGTTCAGCAGGAACAGGAGTCTGGGCTGAGCGCCGGCAGCTGCTGGGGACCCCAACCCCCCCAGCACCACAAAATCTGCTTTGGGGACGCCAAAAAACCCTCCAGGACCCCAAAATCTGCTTTGGAGACCCCGAAATCCCATTTGGTGACCCCCAAAACCCCTCCAGGACCCCAAAACCCCCTCCAGGATGCCAATATCCCCTTTGGGGACCCCAAAATCCCCTTTGGAGACCCTAACTCCCCCCTCCAGGACCCAAATTCCTCCCCAAGAACCCCAAAACACCCACTGGGATCCCCAAGCCCCCCCCTCCATGGTGGAGCCTGCCCAAGGCCCTGCCCCAAACCCACCATTGGGAGGGCCCCAAAAGAGGGGGAAATCCCCCCAAAAGCCAACCTGGGTGGAAGCAATAGCAATGGGGGGGGGGGTGAATGGGGGTCACGTGGTGGGGGGGTAACGCCCTCCCCCCCTCAATAAAAATCCTTTTTCCGTTTTTCCCTGTTTGTTTCCCAAAATAACCCGGATTTCAGGGAATTTCCCTGACGTCATCGCTGGAGGAGGGGCTTCGGCACCGCCCCAACAGGCCCCGCCCCACACTGACGGGGGGAGGGGTGTTTGCCCACGTGTCCCGACCCCCCATAACACAACGAGACGCGGCCCATTTAAGACCCTTACTCGCCGCCCCCCCCCCCCATGGGGAGTGAATCACCCGGGGGCCGGGCGCGGGACAAGCGGCGGCGGCAGCAGCCAAACAGCGCTCAGGGGGCGTGGCCTCTCTTTTCCCACCCATTCATAAAGTCCCGCGGGCGCAGCATGAACGGAGCTGGGAGGGGCGGTGCTGGGAGCCCCCAAACCCAACCCGGGGGCCCTCCTGACGTAAGCGTGACGTCACCGGCCTCGGAGGAGGGGTTCCCCCACAAAATGCCTTTATTAAGACAACGAACAGCGCACGGGGGGGAGGGGCTCAGCCCCGCCCCTTTTTGGCCTTGCCCTTGGCAGGGGCGGGGCGCTGCGGTGGGGGAGGGGCGGCGCCCGCGCGCTGCCGCGCGTCCCGCTCGATGCGCGCGCGGATCCCGACCTCGAGCCGCTGCGGGGGGGAAGGGGAGAGGGGGTCAGAGGTCAGGCATGAGGAGGGGCGCCACGGCCCCGCCCCCCCCACCCCGTCAGTCCCTCCCCCCCTCCCCCATTCACCTTCTTCAGCTTCTGCTGCTGGATCACGCGGAGCTTCTTGGGCGCGATGGCGCGGCCTGGACGGGAGGGGGAGGGTCGGTGGGGTCGGCCCTGCCCCTCCCCCCCCAAAGGCTCCAACTCCCCCCTCCCCCCACTCCGGCCTCACCTCCCTTCCGCGGGCCCCGGTTCCCGCTTCCCGCCGCCGCCGTCGCCCGCCGGGGCCGCTTGGCCGCGGCCTTGGGCCTGCCCTGCGCCATGCTGCCTCCACTTCCGGGTTCCCGCCCGCGCAAAGCACGCCGGGATGTAAAGAGGCACGGCGCAAAGCAGGACGGGATCCATCGAGGCGCTTTACTGCCCCCCAGCGGCGCGGTCCGCCAGCGCCCGGCCCAGGTCCCCCGGGGGCACCACCCCCCACTCGGTGACGATACCGCCCGTGATGAGGTCATGCGGCGTGACGTCAAACGCGGGGTTCCACACGTCGATACCTAGAGATGGCGGGAAACAGCGTCATGGGGGTCCCCTGACCCACGTGGACCCCCCCCTGTGCCCTGTATGGGACCCCCATGCCCTATATGGGACCCTCTGCCCCACATGGGACCCTCTACCTTACATAGGAACCCACCTGCCCCATATAAAGCCCCCAGGAGGCAATGGGGATGCCCCTGTCTCATACAGGACCCCACCCCCTATAGAATCCTCACTCCATTTGGGACCCCTCCAAACCCATTTGGGAGCCCTCTGCCCCACATGGGACCTCTACATCCCGCATAGGACCCCGTCCAAACACATACAGCATCCCCTGACCTGTAGGGGTTCCCCTTGTCATGCATGGGTTCCCCTTGCCATGGATGGGACCCCTTGCCCCATACAGCCCCCCCCGGCCCATGAGCACCCTATGGGGCACGCACCGGGGGGTGCCAGGCAGAGCCCCTGCAGGTGGGTGAGCTCCTGGCCTGGCCTCTCCTCGATGGGGATCTGGTCCCCGCTCGCCAGGGCAGGGTCGCAGCTCGAGCTCGGTGCCGCCACGTAGAAGGGGACCCGGTGGTGCCGCGCGGCCACTGCCAGCTGGAACGTCCCGATCTTGTTGGCCGTGTCCCCGTTGGCGGCCACGCGGTCGGCTCCCACCACCACGGCTGCGGGCAGGGGACACGGCACGGTCAGAGCGTGGGGCCCCGTCCCCTTGCCATCCCCATCCCGGCTCCATCCCCATCCTGGCACCATCGCTATCCCAGAAACATCCCTATCCCCATTCCATCCCTATTTCAGCTCCATCCTCATCCCAACTCCATCCCCATCCCACAACCATCCCTATCCCCATCCCATCCCCATCCCAGCTCCATCCCTATCCCCATTCTAGCTCCATCCTCATCCCAGCTCCATCCCAGCTCCATCCCTATCCCCATCCCATCCCCATCCCAGCTCCATCCCTATCCCCATTCCATCCCCATCCCGGCTCCATCCCCATCCCAGCTCCATCCCTATCCCCATTCCAGCTCCATCCTCATCCCAGCTCCATCCCAGCTCCATCCCTATCCCCATCCCATCCCCATCCCAGCTCCATCCCTATCCCCATTCCAGCTCCATCCTCATCCCAGCTCCATCCCAGCTCCATCCCTATCCCCATCCCATCCCCATCCCAGCTCCATCCCTATCCCCATTCCATCCCCACTCCATCCCCATCCCGGCTCCATCCCCATCCCAGCTCCATCCCTATCCCCATTCCATTCCAGTCCCACTGCAATCCCAATCCCATCTCCATCCCCATCCTGTTGTGATCCCCCTCCCATCCCATCCCCATCCCATCCCCACCCCAGTCCCCCCCCGCTCTCACCATCGACCCCGTGCTCCCTCATGGCGGCGGCGGCGGCGCTGTCGGCGATGAGGGTCACGGGGATGCGGTCATGGAGCAGCTCGAAGGCCGTCAGGCGGCTGCCCTGGTTGTAGGGCCGGGTCTCGGTGCACAGCACCCTCCGCAGCCGGGCCTGCGCGTGCAGCGCCCGCACGATGCCTGAGGGGGGCAACGGGGAGCTGCGGTCAGCATGGGGGGTATTGGGGGTGGGGGGGTATTTGGGGTGCTAGGGGGGTATTTGGGGCGCTGGGGGGTATTGGGGGTGCTAGGGGGTATTTGGGGTGCTGGGGGGGTATTTGGGGTGCTGGGGGTTTGGGGGTCTAGGGGGTATTTGGGGTGCTGGGGGGGTATTTGGGGCGCTGGGGGGTATTTGGGGTGCTAGGGGGGTATTTGGGGCACGAGGGGGTATTTGGGGTGCTAGGGGGGTATTTGGGGTGCTGAGGGGGTATTTGGGGCACTGGGGGGTATTTGGGGCGCTGGGGGGTATTTGGGGCACTGGGGGGTATTTGGGGCACGAGGGGGTATTTGGGGTGCTAGGGGGGTATTTGGGGCGCTGGGGGGGGTATTTGGGGCGCTGGGGGGGTATTTGGGGTGCTGGGGGGGTATTTGGGGTGCTAGGGGGGTATTTGGGGCGCTGGGGGGGTATTTGGGGTGCTAGGGGGGTATTTGGGGCACTGGGGGGTATTTGGGGCACTGGGGGGTATTTGGGGCACGAGGGGGTATTTGGGGTGCTGAGGGGGTATTTGGGGCGCTGGGGGTCAGGACCCTACCTAGCGCGGTGCCGTAGCCGGCCGTGGCGAGGCTCCCGGTGTTGCAGTGGGTGAGGACGGTGACGGCGGCGCCGGCGGGGACACGGCTCAGGATGTGCCGGGCCCCGTGAGTCCCGATGCTCTCGTTGTCCTCCCGGTCCTTGGCCAGGAGCCCCTCGATGTGCTCAATGATGCTGGGGGGGAACGAACCTGGTGCTGAACACACGGCCCCCCGCATCCCAATAACCCCCCTGCACCCCAATACCCTCCCAGGGATCCCAATACACCCCTAGCACCCCAACACCCTCCCATGGATCCCAATACACCCCTAGCACCCCAACACCCTCCCATGGATCCCAATACACCCCTAGCACCCCAACACTCTCCCATGGATCCCAATACACCCCTAGCACCCCAACACCCTCCCATGGATCCCAATACACCCCTAGCACCCCAACACCCTCCCATGGATCCCAATACACCCCTAGCACCCCAACACCCTCCCATGGATCCCAATACACCCCTAGCACCCCAACACCCTCCCATGGATCCCAATACACTCCTAGCACCCCAATACTCTCCCATGGATCCCAATACACCCCTAGCACCCCAATACTCTCCCATGGATCCCAATACACCCCTAGCACCCCAATACTCTCCCATTGATCCCAATACACCCCTAGCACCCCAATACCCTCCCATGGATCCCAATACACCCCTAGCACCCCAATACTCTCCCATGGATCCCAATACACCCCTAGCACCCCAATACTCTCCCATGGATCCCAATACACCCCTAGCACCCCAATACTCTCCCATGGATCCCAATACACCCCTAGCACCCCAATACTCTCCCATGGATCCCAATACACCCCTAGCACCCCAATACTCTCCCATTGATCCCAATACACCCCCAGCACCCCCCCCCCGCCCTCACCGCTCCCGCAGCTCCGGGGCCGTGATCCCGGGGCTCCGGCTCCATCCCCGCAGCCGCTCCCGCAGCCGCTCGGCCTCGCGGCTCAGGTTCACGGCCGTTGGCCGCGCCGAGAGCAGGAACCGGAGCCGCTGCTCCACGAAGGCCTCCAGCGCCGCCACCCCGGCCCCGGCCTCGCCATCGCCACCGCCACCGGTCCCATCCCCGGCATCGGCCCCGGCCCCGGCCGCCAGCTCCAGCGCCAGGCTCAAGCACGCAACCAGCGCGATCGCGGGCGCTCCCCGCACCTGCGGCATCGGCACCGTCACCAGGACCCCTCCGTGCACCCCCCCCTCCCCATAGGGGCTCTGGGGTCCCATGTCCTCCCCCATAGGGGCTCTATGGCCCAGTGCCCCCCTCCCCATAGGGGCTCTGTGGCCCCGTGCCCCCCCTTCCCCATAGGGTTTCTGGGGTCCGATGTCCCCCCCCATAGGAGCTCTATGGCCCCGTGCCTCCCCCCATAGGAGCTCTATGGCCCAGTGCCCCCCCATAGGGTCTCAATGGCCCCGTCCCCCCCCGGTCACCTCCATGCCGTTGATGGCCTCCCAGGCCCGCTCGGCTCCGTCCACCCGCTCATAGCGGAGCCGCTCCGGCAGCAGCCGCTGGTTGAGCACGGAGAGGGACCCGCGCCGGTACCGGATGGACTCCAGCGCCATGGCGGGGGCAGGGGGCGGGGACCGGGACGGGGGCGGAGCTCGGGCTTCCCCCCCCCCGCATGGCCGGAAGTCCCCCGTAGTGACCCCCCCCCCCATGGCGGCACCGCGCAGTGACAGGGGCCGTGCTGAGAACGGCTTTTAATGGGGGGGGGCGGCCCCCTCAGGAGCTGTCGGAGCTGGAGTCGCGATAATCGGCGACCAGGGACGGGGGGGGCGGGGGGGTGCTCCGGTCCCCCCCCTCCTCCCCCCCCTGGGGCTCCGCACCGCGCTTTGGGGTGGGGGCGGGGTCCCCCCTGCGGATGATGCCGAGGGTGCTGCGGGTGGGGGCGGGGCTCCGCGCACCCCCCCCTCCCGGCGCCGGTTTCCGGGCGGGGTCTCCGGTAGCGGCGGGGAACCAGGGCCGGGCCGAGATCTCGGAGCGCTTCTGCCTCTGCTTGGCCTCGTAGGCTGGGGGCACAGGGGGGGTCACGGGGGGGTCACACGGGGGTTGGGGTCACACGGGGGGGTCACACGGGGGTTGGGGTCACACGGGGGGGTTGGGGTCACACGGGGGGGTCACACGGGGGTTGGGGTCACACGGGGGGGTTACACGGGGGGGTCACACGGAGGTTGGGGTCACACGGGGGGGTTGGGGTCACACGGGGGGGTCACACGGGGGTTGGGAGCACAGGGGGTTACACGGGGGGGTCACACGGAGGTTGGGGTCACACGGGGGGCTTGGGGGGGTTGGGGTCACACAGGGACAGGGCCTCCCCGCCCCCACGCACAGAGCGGGCTCCGCAGCGCCAGCAGCGCCGCCACCCTCCGGTCCTGCGGCTCCTCCGGCAGCAGCGCGATTCCCAGCCCCGGGCGAGGCGGCTCCGGCGGCGGCTTCTGCTCCTGCGGGGGAAACGGAGCGGGTGCGGCGGGGGGGGACGGGGGGAGCCCCAGTGTGGGGATATGGGGATAGGGAGAGCCCCAGCGTGGGGATACGGGAACAGGGACATCCCTCCCAGTATGGGGGTACGGGGACAGGGACATCCCTCCCAGTATGGGGGTACGGGGACAGGGACATCCCTCCCAGTATGGGGGTACGGGGACAGGGACATCCCTCCCGTATGGGGTACGGGGACGGGACATCCCCCCAGATGGGGGTACGGGGACGGACATCCCTCCCAGTATGGGGGTACGGGGACAGGGACATCCCTCCCAGTATGGGGGTACGGGGACAGGGACATCCCTCCCTGTATGGGGGTACGGGGACAGGGACATCCCTCCCAGTATGGGGGTACGGGGACAGGGACATCCCTCCCAGTATGGGGATACGGGGACAGGGACATCCCTCCCAGTATGGGGATACGAGGACAGGGACATCCCTCCCAGTATGGGGATACAGGGACAGGGACATGGGGACAGGGACATCCTTCCCCATGCAGTCACTGGTGCGTACCGGTCTATAGTGGTGCGCACTGGTCTACAGTGGTGCGCACTGGTCTATAGTGGTGCGCACTGGTCTATAGTGGTGCGCACAGGTGCATACTGGTGCGCACTGGTGCATACTGGTGTGTGCTGGGCGCTCACCCGGAAGCGGCTCCGCAGGCGGCAGTTGAGCCCGAAGTCGTCCTTCCAGAGGCTCTGGAAGTGCTGCAGCGCCGCCAGCCCCGGCTCCGCCCGCTCCCGGCACTCCCGGTCCTTGGCGCCGTGCTCCAGCCGGAACATGGCATCGGATGCCAGGCGCTCCCGCGCCTCCCGCTCTGCGGACACCGGCACCGCGCCGCTGCCGCACTGGGGGCACTGGGAGCACTGGGGGGACTGGAGCTCACCGGTGGCACGGTGTGATTGGTGTTACTGGTGCAACTGGGAATCACCCGTGGCATGGTGTGAATGGTGTCACTGGTGCCATTGGAGTTACTGGTATTCACCAGTGGCACTGTGTGACTGGTGTGATTGGTGTTACTGGTGCAACTGGGACTCACCGGTGGCACTGTGTGACTGGTGTTACTGGTATCACTGGTGTCACTGGTGTGCCTGGGACTCACCGGTGGCACTGTGTGACTGGTGTTACTGGTGTCACTGGTGTACCTGGACTCACCGGTGGCACTATGTGACTGGTGTTACTGGTGTGACTGGTGTTACTGGTGTCACTGGGACTCACCGGTGGGCAGCACCTGCTGGTTTTCAGCCATGTCCCAGCGCTCCTCCTTGCGCCGGGCGCCGCTGACGATGACGTAGTCGCATCCCGCGGGATCCGTCTGCAGCTCGATGTGGTTCACACAGAGGTGGCACTTCATCCGGAACCTGGGCAGGGCACGGGGACGGGGATGGGCACAGGGATGGGCACGGGGATAGGGATGGGGATGGGGATAGGGATGAGCACAGGGATAGGGACAGGGATGGGCACAGGCACAGGGACAGGGACAGGCCCCACCTGTAGATGGGCGTCGTGTAGTAGTTCCCAACCTTCCTCTTCTCTGCGTTGTAGCGGACGCCTGGAGCAGGAGGGGGATCAGAGCCAGCCCCATCCCGGGAATGCCGGGGCCGGGAATGCCGGGGTCGGACTCACCCATCCCGATGTGGTTCTTGCAGCCATCGCACCAGATGTTAAAGGGCATCTCGAACCTGGGGGGGGACGCACACACATACACGGGGTGGGGATGTCCCCAACACCCCCTCATGTCCCCAGACCCCCCCATTGTGTCCCCATGCCCCCCCCATGTCCCTACCTGATGACCAGGATGCCCTGGGCCAGCTTCCGAGCGCGCTCCCGCAGTGGGTGGCTCCCATGGTACTTGTTGAGGGAGCGGTGCTGGGGGGGGAACATGAGGGGGGGTCAATGGGAGCCAGGGAACCCCCCCAACACCCCCAAACCCCCCCCCCCCGAGGCCCACCTTGGCCGGGTCGAAGTCGGGGGGATAGTACTTGTTGGTGCCCTTGCGCTCACCCTAGGGAGGAAACAGGGATCAGAGCCCCATGGGGACCCCACAGGGGCCATGGGGTGCTCACAGGGAGGTCCTGGGGGCCGCACTCACCATGGTGCAGGTTCTCTGGTGCCACCGGCCTGGGGGACACGGAGCGAGGGGACGAGGAGCTGAGGTAACAGGGGGGGAAATGGGGGGCTCCCAGTCTGAACTGGGACAGGGGACACCCCAGTGAGGGCATGGGGATGGGAACACCCCATTACCAGCTATGCACACCCCATTATGGACTATGGGCACCCCATTACTGGTATGCACACCCCGTTATGGACTATAGGCACCCCATTACCGGCTATGGACACCCCGTTATGGACTACGGGCACCCCATTACCGGCTATGGACACCCCATTACAGGCTATGGGACCCCATTACCGGTATGGACACCCCATTACGGGCTATGGGACCCCGTTACGGGCTATGGACACCCCGTTACGAGCTATGAGGACCCCGTTACGGGCTATGGGACCCCATTACCAGTATGGACACCCCGTTACGTGCTATGGGACCCCGATACGGGCTATGAGGACGCCGTTACGGGCTATGAGGACCCTGTCCCGGTCGCGGCCGCCCCCCGTCCCGCCGCTCACCACCGACCTCTTCCGCCTCCGCTACCGTTGCCCCGCCCCTTCCGGTTGCGTCACCCCGTGGTCGTAAAAGGAGGCGTGGCCCGCGCCCGGCCCGCCCCTCCCGCAGCCCCGCGCATGCCCCGTCCGCGCCGCAGCGCGGTCACCTGCGGCCTCCCATGGCAACGGGGCTCACGGACGCCCCCCCCCGCCCCAGCAACGGGTTGCTATGGCAACCGGGCCCATGGCAACCAGGCCCATAACAACCGGGACCCCCCACCCAGGGGGTCCCCGTGGCTGTTCTACCCCTTCCCACGCCCCCCCCCGCCGCTGTCCTCAGGTGACCCCGCAGCCGAGGCAGCCTTGTTCACACACGTGTGCAACCACCTTGCACACACATGTGCACCGCCTTTACATGTGTGTGCAACCGCCTCGCACATACATGTGCACTGCCTTTAATGTGTGTGCAACCGCCTCACACATACATGTGCACCGCCTTTAATGTGTGTGCAACCACCTTGCACACACATGTGCACCGCCTTTACATGTGTGTGCAACCGCCTCGCACATACATGTGCACTGCCTTTACATGTGTGCGCAACCACCTCACACATACATGTGCACCGCCTTTACATGTGTGTGCAACCGCCTCGCACATACATGTGCACTGCCTTTACATGTGTGTGCAACCGCCTCGCACATACATGTGCACTGCCTTTACATGTGTGCGCAACCACCTCACACATACATGTGCACCGTCTTTACATGTGTGTGCAACCGCCTTGCACATACATGTGCACCGCCTTTACATGTGTGTGCAACCGCATTGCACATACATGTGCACCGCCTTTACATGTGTAACAGCCTCTCCCATACATGTACACTGCCTTTACACGTGTGCGCAACTGCCTCACACATACACGTACACCGTCTTTACACGTGTGTGTAACTGCCTTGCACATACATGTGCATCACCTTTACGCACGTGCACAGCTGCCTCACACACGCATGTGCACTGCCTTTACACACATGAGGAACCACCTTTCACATACATGCGCAATGCCTTTACATGTGTGCGCAACCACCTTGCTCATAGGTGGCCTCTGCCTTTATACACGTATGCACCACGATGCCTAAACGGCGTCACTGGCATTATCCCCCGGGAGCCCCTTCCCCAGGGATGGGCAGAACCGGGTGACCTGGCACGGTGACACCGCGGCACAGTGACACCACAGCACGGTGACACCAGGGCACGGTGACACCACGGCACGGTGACACCAGGGGACGGTGACACCATGGCACAGTGACACCACGGCACGGTGACACCAGGGCACGGTGACACCGCGGCACAGTGTCACCACGGCACGGTGACACCATGGCACGGTGACACCAGGGCACGGTGACACCGCGGCACGGTGACACCAGGGCACGGTGACACCAGGGTACGGTGACACCACGGCACGGTGACACCAGGGCACGGTGACACCAGGGCACGGTGACATCACGGCACGGTGACACCAGGGGACGGTGACACCACGGCACGGTGACACCAGGGCACGGTGACACCATGGCACGGTGACACCAGGGGACGGTGACACCATGGCACGGTGACACCAGGGCACGGTGACACCAGGGGACGGTGACACCAGGGCACGGTGACACCATGGCACGGTGACACCATGGCACGGTGACACCAGGGCACGGTGACACCATGGCACGGTGACACCAGGGCACGGTGACACCACGGCACGGTGACACCAGAGCTCGCTGCCCCTGCCACTCCACAGGGCCTCGCACTGGGGACAGGGTACAAAGGGACCCCCCCATCCTCCTCTGGGCCTTTGTGCACCCCAGTTTGGGTCCATGGGGGGACACCTGCGGTGTCACTGTCCCGCTGTGGCCTTGCCGTGGTGTTCCCGAGTCCCAGGGAAGCATTAATGTGTCCCCATGGACCAATGGATGCCACAGCATCCCCATCCCATCTCCGTGGCATCCCCACGGCAGCGGCTCCAGCTGCGGCTCTGGAGCCCCAAACCAGCCTCGGACATGGGGTGACCGGAATGGCACAACCGGGACATCCCATCCCCCTGGTGTCACCGGATGCATCCGGCTTTTCCCTTCCCTGGCTCCTTCCGTCTCCCCCCGCAGCACCGGAGACCCCCCCATCCGGCAGCGCTGGCAGCGGAGCCCGGTTGTGGCCGCACCGGCTGCCGGCACCGCGGGACGTCCATCTGCACCGGGCACCCGCTGCCAGGACATGGGGGGGGCCGGGATGCACCGGGATGGGGGAACCACGTCCCCTTGCGGCGATGGCACCGACCCCCGGCCTCCGGTGGGGCCCTGCTCCGCCAGGGGTTGGGGGTTCCCCATTGCCCCGAGGCGATGTCCCCGGTGGAGGGGATGGGGACGGGGCAGATTCGGGGTACGGGGGGGGGCCCCCCCTTCTCTGCACCGGGTTCGTGGCAGAGCCGCTGCGGGGCCGGGACAAAGGCGCTGACGTCAGGCACGGGGCTGGGGGCACCGGGCGACCTAGTTCCAGGCAATGGACAATGGACCCCCCCTTGCCATGGTCACGGTGTCCCCCCCCCGCGCTGTGTCCGTGCGCGCCTTCACACGTGCCCGGGGAGACCTTCACATGTGCGTGTTCACGCCTTCACATGTGCGGGTTCACGCCTTCACATGTGCGGGTTCACGCCTTCACATGTGCGGGTTCACGCCTTCACATGTGCGGGTTCACGCCTTCACATGTGCGGGTTCACGCCTTCACATGTGCGGGTTCACGCCTTCACATGTGCGTGTTCACGCCTTCACATGTGCGTGTTCACGCCTTCACATGTGCGGGTTCACGCCTTCACGTGTGCCCCTGCACCCCCTTGCTCTCTGTGCCCATGGCTCTGACATGGGAGCTGCTCACCCCTGCGGCTTTGCACACCCATTTTCCCCACCCCTTTCTGCGCACCCGTTTTTCTACACCCCTTTTTGCACACCCGTTTTTTCACACCCATTTTTGAACGCCTTTTTCCACACCCGTTTTTGAGCACCCATTTTTGCACACCCGTTTTTGAACATCCTTTTTTCCACACCCGTTTTTCCACACCCGTTTTTGAGCACCCATTTTTGCACACCCGTTTTTGAACACACTTTTTCTACACCCGTTTTTAACTCCCATTTTTGACCACCCGTTTTTCTACACCCGTTTTTTAACACCCTTTTTTGCACACCCGTTTTTGAGCATCCATTTTTGAGCACCCATTTTTGCACACCCGTTTTTCTATACCCGTTTTTAAGCACCCATTTTTGCACACTCGTTTTTCCACACCCGTTCCGCTCCCGTTTTTACCCGCCTGCAGCCCCCCCCCTTCCATTCCATTCCGTTCCATTCCGTTCCATTCCCCCCCCCCGCTCCATCTCCGCTCTCAATTGAGCCTTCCCGGGGCGGCGGAGGAGGAGGAGGAGGAGGAGGAGGAGGAAGAGCCCCGCGGGCAGGGGGGGAGCGGGAGCAGAGGCAGGAGCAGGAGGAGGAGGAGGAGCAGCAGCAGCAGCATCGCGGAGGCTCTGCCGCAGCCCGGGCCCATGGGCTCCGCCGCCCCGCTGCTACCGGGGGGCTGACGGCGACCCCCGGTGCCAACGGGGGGACCCCGCTCCGCCGCTGCCCTCCCTCCCTCGCGCCGCTTGGATCCTTTGGGAATCGCTTCTTTTCTTGGGGGGGACGCGGATTTTTTGGGTGCCTCCCCCCCCCCTTGGCGCAGCCGCCGCCCCCCCCCACCTTGCTCTGCATCGGGGCCCTTCACCCCCCCAACCCCCCTCCATCGCACCGGGAGCCGCAGAGCGGGACCCCCCCCCCCATCCTCCGCCGCTACCGGAGCGGGGGGGGTGCGCGGCGGGAGGATGCTCGGGCCGGTTCCCGCTGCCCCCGGCCCCGCCGCTGCCTGAGCGCCCCCCCCCCGGCCGGGACCGGGGGGTCCGGCCCCCCCCCCCAAATTGCTTTATTTCTCCGCCTCCCCCCCCCATGGGATGTGATGAGCTCGTCGCCGGTGCCGGCCTCAGCAGCGTAAGCCCCGGGCGCCGCTCTCCGTCCGCACAATGGCTCGTTTCGGGGATGAGATGCCGGTACCGGCCCGGTACAGGGCAGGAGGCGGCCCCGGGGCCTCGGCGGCGGGCCGGGGTGCGGGGGGCCCGCGGCAGGGCGGCCCCCCCGGGGCTCAGAGGATGTACAAGCAGTCGATGGCCCAGCGAGCCCGCACCATGGCTCTCTACAACCCCATCCCCGTGCGGCAGAACTGCCTGACCGTCAACCGCTCCCTCTTCCTCTTCAGCGAGGACAACGTGGTGAGGAAATACGCCAAAAAGATCACCGAATGGCCATATCCTTTTGGGGGACCCCCCCCGGTATCGGTATGTCACCCGCTCCCCGGCACCCCGCACCCCGGCACCCTGCCCTGTGCTGGGGTCTCCATCCCCGTGCCCTGCATTGGGCTCCCTCTCCCCATCCATATGCCCTGCATCAGTTCCTGTCCCCGTTTTGGGGTCCCATCCCCTTGTCCTACATTGGGGTCTCCATCCCTATGCCCCGCACCAGGTTCCTGTCCCCAT